GGATAGGAGGAAGTTAAACAATTTTAATCTAAGATCGAGATCTAGTTTATTAAACTGATTTAACTGATTTATTATAATAAAACTCCTTTTAACGATTCTTTCGACCTATTGATTTTGTTGACATATTAACTGGCAAATGGATGATAAAATAAATTAAATGATTGCTAATAATAGAATTAGTTATTCCATGGAAATGTCTCAAGAATATTGAAAGAATGAGAATATTTTATGCGATGTTATTTTAAAATTCACTAGATTTATTCAGTTTTCTCTTTTTTCCTCTAACAACACTGAAAGTCCTGCAGATAATATGGTAGGATCTCAGGATTTCACCGAAATTTTACTTTTAATTTCATTTTACTGGTTTGATTCAATAAAAGGCCTCTTTTACCTCGGGCAACATAACCCTTAACTATCCTGTCCTATTCAACCAGCATACAATATCAGGAGATAGAATGGCTGAGTGGGCTGTTGCTAAATTCGGAGAGGCATGTCGAGGTTCTATTCTGCGCAGAAGTAAACCTGTCCAAAAATCCGGGTGATGCTGGCGGCTCACCTGTATTTCTATCGTCAAGGGACTTCTTGACATATTTGTCCAATGCGACAAGCCAATGGAGCGAGTTTAACCAGTAATGGTGAGGACTCTTTTAAAAAAAATATCAGCCACTGCATTTTTATTGTATTGTGCTTGAATTCTTGTATTTTAATTCTTCATTGGAACCATTCAATTTTTTGTTTGATTTTTCCTTCAAAGATTCAGTTTATTTTTGCATTACAGTTAGAAGGAAGTAATTATTGTGAAAAATATGGGTTTATAAAATATTCACAAGGTTGGTATAAATTGACTGCGAAATCAATATTTCTATCTTCGCTAAAGAATTTTAAGAAATTTCCAAATATATCCTATTTAATTAGTTACAAGGTAAAAAGGTCTTTTTTTCTTTTTCTTATCACCGTTATCTTATCATTATTTAAGAAGAAACGAATAAAGCTGTTATCATTATTTGGTTTAATCTTCATTTTTTCATTCTTCAATTTTCCTCTCGTTTACTGCAAATTAACGGAAAAAATTTCAAAATATTTCTTCCTTAGTACAACGGTAAAGAAGAAAGAAAGAAGACATTGAAGTTAGTATCAGCAATGTTTTCTTTAATTTCGTTTATGTAAAAATTTTGAAATCATGGAACGGAAAACAATTTTTTTATTATGTTTGCTAAGTAGAAGGCGAACAGTTTCAATTAATTTCTTTTTAAACCTCATTTAAGCAAAATCTTCTAAAACTTATTTCACTTTTGTCGAAATTCTTTCAATTTATAACGAGTTCGTTCGATGAATTAGGGTGGTATTTGAAATTATTATGGAAGAATTCTTTTCGTTTTCATATTATTTTTTTGCATAGTTTTATATACATATATAGCTTTTTTTTGAGGTAAATACTGGATTTCTTAATTTATTATTATTCCACAGAATTCTAATTATTATTATCGGTTTTACTCGCTTCTTAGTTGAATTTTGCATGGTGATCTGTTGAATTTCGCTCGAAAATCGGGAAATACCTAAGGATACTAGGAATATACCTTGAAATCCAAGGTATATTCCTAGCGCAGCGTGAATCGTCGTGAATTAAATAAAGTTACCATATTTTTTTTACAAAAAAACTCAGCAAGCCACAATTTAATTTTTATCACTTTTTTGTCAATTTTTTGTCGATAAGATGTTTAAAATTAATTGGTAGTCATTTGCAGGCTAGTTTTAATGTGAATAGCTTGGATTTTCAGGAATTTATATTTAAGCTGTTGAAAAATAAAAATACGATTGTTGATTTCGACTACAAAAAAATTTTTTATGGAAGCCAATAGTATTTGATTTGAAATTTCAAATGAATCCGTTGAACGTTGGTAATTTTTAACGATAGCCAATATTTCAAGCGATGACTTGAATGACGATGACTTTTTGTCAATAATTTAAAAAAACAAGAACGAGTTCGTTCGATGAATTAGGGTGGTAATTGAAATTATTATGGAAGAATTCTTTTCGTTTTCATATTATTCTTTTTTTGCATAGTTTTATATACATATATAGCTTTTTTTTGAGGTAAATACTGGGTTCCTTAATTGGCAATTAGCATTCGCATTCGTCATTTCTGACAAAGTTTATTAGGAAGAGATACTTTCATGTGGAGGTAGAACTATACGGATTTTTCGATGGCACTTTTTTCACTGGTAAAGGAAATGGCCAAAAACTATGATGCTTGAAATGATACTTTAAGCAATACACCTACTCAGCTGTTGATAATTTGGCTGTCAAGACGACTTCATTTTCATCTTGAATCAAAATGGATATTTTATTACATTTTCTTTTCATAAATTCTAACTAAGAAATGGCTTTTTGATAGAATTAATTAATTTTAAATTTCTAATTTTTTTTAAAATTCATAACACAAAAGAAGATTGAATGTAGAAATTTTACTATCATAGATCTTAACATAGATTTTCTTAACATAAATTTTTCAGGGAAGAAAGATGAATGAATTTGATTATGAACTTTTAAAATTTTAGAAATAATGATAGTTTTGCATATTTTGTCTATCTTTGGCCAAGATTCATTGTTTTTGGAAATAATTGTTCCTCCTCCTTTTAGTGGCATTTTACTTTGGTTGGTGCTACTGCCTATTAGAATGAGTTCTCGGAGAATCACTTGGAGATAGAGGTATAGGTAGGTCTAAGCTCCCACTTTTGATGGCAGATTTATAATAACTTTCACAATCTTTGCTGGCTTACCCACACTCGAAACAATGTTCTATTAAAATATCTATTAGAGTATTTCTTTTATTAATTTTTCACTGGATATTGCGGCGATTTAAAAAATTTACTAATTCGAATAATTTCACTGGTGCTTTACCAGTTTTTATGATAAATGAACGATCATAACAAGCCATAACCATATGCGGCTGTTTAAAGGTTAAAAAAGGCCATCGGAGCAATCATCGGAGAATTTCATCGCGTTTCTTTCAAAATTTTCTCTTGATTTATCTACTTTTTTCATCTTTCCCCTCTTATTTCATCATGATTGCGAAAATAGAGTTAGAATCTAGATGAATTTTTTTCCTTTACTGGTGATTTGACCTATTTTTAGTCTTTTCAGTTATCAAAGACTCGTGTTCAGTGTTCCACGCAACCAAATTCATTATGTTGCTGTGAAAACGAGCATCGAAGCCATAAATCGTCATTAGTCGGTCAACCAACACTTCCTAAGTAAACATTTTTTTCCCATTCACTAATTTTTTAATATTCATAAATCTATCGTTATGAAATTTTCATTTATTCTATAGATTAAACAATAAAAAAAGGAGAGAATTTGCATATACTTGTAGATTTTGCTTGCACATTGAATTTATTTATATATTAATTTTTGACATGTTCTATAATTGTTAATGAAAATGCAACCAGTGCACCACGCATTAGTTCTCAAGGTCCACTTTATCGAATTCCGATTTTTATTTTTTAATATTGTTTCTTAAATTATTTCATGTTACTTTTACTAACCGTTTTTTTTTACTTATTTATCAATCAATCTATTATATTTATAAATATTAATAATTTTTTATATCAGGAAGCTCATGAAATTGATATTTAACATTCGCTCTCACAGTCTGAGGGTTCCAGAGAATCTTGCAGGAGTAGGTAGAGGAGACGTTCTCTTTATATTGAAAAATTTCTCCATGTCGATTTCTAATAATAATTAACGTATAATCTAAAGGAACAAAGGCTCTAATGGTGTGTTCAAATTTAAAAAGTTTAATCATTCATTCAGTGAGATTATTCAGAATTTCCTAAAAAACTTCCCCAAAAACTTATTTCTAATTTTATTTAATCTCCTTAAAATTTCATTTTAACTAAATTTTTTTAAATTTCTTCATATCTTCTGTTATCATGACTTCTCGCGATCGCGATATAGCATTTTCATATTATGCTGCAGTAAAAATAATAGGCTTGATATTATACCTGACATGAGGACTCGATTATCTTATATCGCATCTGATTTCAAAAAAATTTGTAACTTGTTTGCTCAGTAACATCTATCTTATAAAAGGCATTTTTTCTTTTTTTAAAATAAGTCTGATTAGCGTTTCTGTACTGTTATAGGTTGCATTAATGTGTTCAAGCGAAGATAAGTAGTAATTTTTAGTTCTTTCATAAATTTGAAAATATATTAATTTTGCACAAATAAAACTTGGAAAACAATATTTGTTTTTAAACTCAAATAATTTAAGTATTTATGTTGTAATTCTATGTTTAGGAAACGCGTCTTTAGAGCAAAAAGTTTGAGAAGCATTAACTACTGTACTGAACTACTGTTTATCAACTACTGTTGATTCCTTTTTGACGCTTGAATATTCATTCCTTTATTAAAATCTTTCAGGATTTTCAAAGAGCACTTGCCATTACTGGTTTGACTCGCTCCTCTGGCCTGTCGCATTAAACAAATTTGCCAGGAAGTCTCTTGGTGACAGAAGCACGGGCGAGTATTACCAGTATTACCTGGATTTTTGGACAGGTTACATCTGCGGTAATTAAAATTTCAGTATCGGCGCTCCGAACTGAACAACCACTGATCCATTCTACTCTTCTTTGTTTTTATCTTTATTAGGCGATATTGCCGACCAATGAAAAATGGGTGCATCGGCTAAACCGAAACTAGGCTTCTATTCTCAGTGGCAGTTATCGTACCACTGAAGTACCATTGATTTTCTCCAAAATGTTGAATTCATAATCGGATCATTGTGCTTTCACGCTTGTTGTTACGCTTAAATTTTTTTTATAATTTGATTTTTCATCGATCAAGATTCGTCGATTTAGTGTTTTTTTATTTATTTATTTGGTTCTTTAAGAAGCTGATTATTTTTTTCAGAAGCTTCTCAAATTTTTTCAGTATTCCGCTTGACGAACCGTCGTGTTCTGAGGACGACGGAGGTATATTTCGAATCGATTTGACTACTGATGAGACTGGATCTGGATCAAGGAGGGCCCGATCCACAACTTCCTCCCGAAGGAGTGTGTTCTTTGGAAAAGTTGGTATCATTGACATTGACATTTTTATTTGCTTATTAGTTTATTTATAGTTTATTAATTTGTTTATTAGTGTAGTTTTAAATAAATAATGAGATTGACAAGTTAAATTAGAATTTTCTTATCTCTGGGTTTTAGGCCCAAATTTAATTTTCTTTATTGAGTTATCGGTTATAAATATAACTAATTTCAAATTTCCAGTGGTTAGCAGGCGTTTCTTATCAGATTTCGCGTCTTAGAAATTTTTTTGCAGGATAAAATTGATATGATAAGCCGTCTATCCGAGTTTAAAGAAGAGCTTCAGAAGCCAGTATCAATTTTTCAGATCGAATCCCACTGGACTGACATAGTAGCTAAATCCGTAAGCTCGTTTCTTCTTTTTTCGTATGTTTCATTTCAGTCTAAATATTATTAAGCTATAAAATCCAAAAAATCTTAAATTTTTTACCAATAAATACCAGAAATTTTTTTGTCCAAACATCCTCAAACATCGCTAATTTAATATTACAAAATATATCTGTTTATGATATCAAGATCAGTCATTTTGTTAAAACTATGAGTTTTTTGAAGAGTGAATTAAACAAACGACACCAAGAACAACAAGAAGCAATATGGGAATTCGTAACTACAGAACATCGGTACCTAAAGGTATTAGGTTCAGTTCTATTCATTTCTTTCTCAATTTATTTTAGCTTATCGCGCCTTTGAAATCTCATGATAAGGTAAATAATGCAACCATCTAGAATTTGTAATTATTTTTTTTTTTATTCTATAATTTTATACTAGATTTAATCTTAATTTTATACTAGATTTTTAAAGCGATTTTCTTTATAGATGCTGAAGCAAATGAGTGAACTCTATGATTGCCTCGTTCGAGTACAAGAAATCGGTTATTTAAGAGACATTGATGCTAGGAGAGTTTTCCTTAATTATCCAGAACTTTACATACATAACACCAAATTCTGGAAGAAAGCAGTAATGCCTATGCTACAAAATTCAAGGCAACATTAATAGCACTATAAATATGCATTATTTCTAATTTTAATTTTGTTTCAATCCCAAATTTTCTAGGAATACTGGTTTACCTATGAATCCAACATTAATCAGAAGTGGATTTGAGCGTATCGAAGAATGGTGGCCTTGTTATACAAGTTTTATCTTTGGTCATTCTGACTGTCACGCCTATGTACAGAAGTGCCAAAAGGAACATGAACTTTTCAAGGAATTTGTTATGGTAATTTAACCTCATAATATACAGTTCTTGCGATCCTTTTTCTCCATCTAGTTGAATGATTCTCGTTCTTTTAAATAAAAGATTGGCTTTCACTCTCGAAAATTTTTATTAAAATTACATTTATTCACTTTTTGCTTGGCCTTACCTCCTTAAAATTTTCATTTAAAAAGTTTTTTTGTTGTTTTGTTGTCTGTAAAAATTTAGAAAATTTAGAAAAGTAATTTCCATTCTCTCTAAAAATTTGAGGAATTTTACCAAACCATTTTTGAATGCCTAATATGAAATGGTTTCATCTTTTCATTTTTTATTATATTTTCAGTGGGCAGAATCACAAAACACTATGCAGCGGCAGAGGCTATTAGATGCTTTAACAAATCCAATGCAGCGGTTAACCAGATATAGCTTACTATTAAAAGCTGTTTTAAAAAATACCATTGAAGATGAACAACGGGGAATAATACAAGTAAGTAAAATAAATAAATTGACATAATTTTTCTTTATCAGTTACTTTTTTTTCCTCTAATAGTTCTCATTATTACTAGTTAGACTGGCTATAAGGGTAAAATATCTCCAAATTATTCTATCCGACGCCATCATTGACAATCTTTTTTTTTTTAAAGAACTTTCACCGTTACTGGTTAACTGGTTATTACTGGTTACTTGTTCCGCTGGCTTGTCGCATTGGACAAATGTGCCAGAGAGTCTCTTGGCGATAAAAATACAGATGAGTCGCCAGCATCACCCGGATTTTTGGACAGGTTCAGTTCTGCAGGGAAGAGAACCTTAGTATCGCCGCTCCGAATTGAGCTGCAACACTAAGCCATCCTGTCCCTCATCATTGACAATAGTGGAGCCATTCTTTTTTCCGTCATCTAAGTCCACATATCGCTGTCCACCTATACGTTCAGAATCTTTCTTGACTCTATCAGTCCGGGTCTTAAGTGGCACTCCTCGCTTTTGATGCCATCAATCATTGGGTTTAGCAAGTCATAAAACGAAATATTGCCCTCTTAAAACGTGAGTTTTCATATTTGTGATGATTTTGAGACGACTCCATGAAGATTTCGCTATATATCGGAAGAATTCGCATTTCTAGCTATTTTTATCTGGGTTATAATTTCTTTTTCGTTTGGCTATTTAAAATTTAAATGGATTGAAGATATTTAAAGCCTGATACTTCGTCGGCATCTTTATATAAAACGAAAAGACTTTCATTTTACATATATTAATCCTAAGTCCTATTCTCGCTGCAAATGTCGATGCATTGTTTAGCATTATTTGTCTTTCATCATAACAGTAAAAAAGACTACATCATCAGTATATTCAAGGCCTGTGATACGATCCTCTGGACTGATTTACGCACCTCTTGAATGCGGACAAGCGATGTCCTTTATCCAATCTATCGCATAGTTGAATATTGTAGGAGAAAAGACACGAGTTATTTCGAAAAAATCTGTCATTTTTTTGTATACATACCGATGTAAGCTTGTAAAATGAGTCGAATGAATACCGTGACATTCCATTTCTTCAAAGGATCATTTATTCTATCAATTGAATCGAAGACAATTACAAAGTGAAAATGTAATGGTTTGCAGATATTTGAAGCTTTAACGTGAATATCTGAACACAACCACGTTTTATCTTGGACGTATCCTCCTGTCTCCTATTGCCATAAGTCTATTGAATAGAACAGAAGTACAGATTTTCCCAGAGGCGTTCTAATAGGCTGATTCCTCGATAATTGCCTTTCTTGGGAATTGGGAGCGAATTGTTTTGCTTCAGTCATCTGGTATTATTTCTTTTTCTTTTTAGTGTTAATGTGAATGCATTCCAGTTGGCATTAAGATTTTCAATGGCATGAAATATAAATATACCACCTTGAAAAAAAAAATTTTTTTTCTAAGTCTATTTTTATAACAAAATTATAAAGATAAATAAAATAACAAATTACATTTTTTATTATTTATATATTTTTTATAATTCATATTATTTATAAATTTATTTATTTTATTATTATTCACTTTAATTAAATCACATTGCTATTACTTATAAAATTTTAGTAAAAATTTGCAAAATACCAGAGAATGCATTTGCTGAAGGTGTGTTATGAAGGACATCATTTGAAAAGTTCGGCCGAAAAACAATCTTTTCCAGGGGTTTTATTGGCTTTCTCGATGATAGATGTTATTTCCTGTTCTGCTGGCTGTTGGCTGTTGGGAGTTGTAAACATATGGATCAGCGAGCGATTCAGTTATATCCAGGTCTATAGATGGCTAAATGTGATAGTAAAGAATTGCTTCCACCTTATGAGGTGATCCTTAGTAGCCTTAAAGCCCCATTAATATCCCATATCATTTCGCTGACCATTTCCCGAGTTACAGTTGTTTTATGGCGAAATTTCCTTTATCGTCTAATCGAGCTGATGTCTCCATTTTCAAGCTTATTGCTCCTGTAGCGATTCCTTTAGTGCCGTATTGCTGTCTAATTCTTGAAGCATCCGATAGTAAGAATTTCCTGACATTGTTTATATCTATGAGATGTTTCCATAATTCGGTTCGGTTTTACGCTCACTGTCTCCCAAATTTTTCATTTTGAGATAGTTGAAAGATAGTCTTGGAGTTGTTTCTTGCGAGTTGTCAATTTTGTGTAGATCTTGGCTCGAACATGATCTGATCCATGAAAATTGCTCGTTTCAGCGTCGCGAAAAGAACGACTATCAAGTACGGAATTCTTCCAACGGCGAGTAACTAAATATAATCAGTCTAGTTAGAGTGTTGATTATCTAAAGAGTTCCACATGTCTAAATGTTTTCTTCGATGGCGAAGCATGTAGTAATAGCAAGAAGTTTATGCACTTCTACTATTCTTTACCAATACAATAAATTCAATTAATTCGATTGAAAATTGCAAGTGATTTCGATGAATATGAATGTTTTACGAGAATATTCCGAGGGCTTAATTTTCTTATATTTCTCCTGGACTCAATAATATAGAATTTCAGGATATGATCTCGAAAATCGAACATGCAACGAGAAAAATTGAAGAGATGCTAAATAACAATGACTTACAAAATAAATTGCAGGAACTATCACGAAATATTGAAAGTTATGATGCAATTGATAGTGAAGAATTTGAGAAAGTATCTAATTTTCATTAATTTTCCAAGCTTTGTGAAAGGAAGTCCTTAAGTCCTTCCTGCATTATTTATCTACCCAATAGTTTACCATTTGCTGCAGTTTAATGTACAAAAATGGCTGAACAATTTGCTCTCATAGATTGTCTATTTGCTAAGCGTTGCTATTCATTTCATTTCTGCTAAACGAAATTTTTATTGCATTGATAATTTTTTAACCGGTTGTTCGTCAGTTTTTTGTCATTTATTTTTCTGATCGGGACAATTCACTGTATAGCATTCTAAAATTATCAGATAAAATAGAATATAATGGGAGAAAGCTAAATCTCATAAATTGTCAGAAGATAATTTTGTGGAGGAACTAACCTTTTTTCCCTGATGAAGCTAACCTATAACTGCTTGGAATAAGAATATAGGCGTTTTGTGAAATTTTTGGTCCAAAAACTTGCAAAAACCTTTGGGTTTGCATGAGTTTTTTTCAATGAAATGGTGTTTTTTAAAATTTCATTTAAATTTTTATTTAATTACGACAAATGTATGGTGTAACAAATGATGTGATTTTTTACTATTTTATTATTTATTCTTAATATTTTCTTTTATTTTCATATTTTCTTTTCGAGTTCACAGTGAAACTTACATCCTTCTCCAGTAAACTTATGCTTATTTCTGTACTTAAGATTTTTCCAATCAAATGTTCGATACGACTTGCCGATCCAATGCCTTATATAATGGGTCCACCGCAATTTCGACGGGTTTATCTAAGAGGAGATGTAAAATTAAAAGAAAGTAAACAAGGTGCAAAAGTTGAAGCACACTGCATACTTTTCACCGATCTTTTCCTTATTTGTAAATCAACAGGTCGACGTACGGATCGTTTAAGGATTCTTAAGCCACCTATACATATCGCGAAAATATGCCTGCAGCAGTTCATTGATTATTGTAAGTTTTTTTGAAAATTCCTACCTATCTATTTATTTGCTTATTATTCGTTGACTGACAAGTTATTTTAAGCTGGTTTTATATTATCGCCAATAAATGATTTTGGTCTTCCTATTGCTCTATATTATCTATATACATCGACAGCAGAAGAAACGAAAAAGTGGATGGAAATGACAAATATGGCACTTCATGATTTTTATCGCCTGAAGTAGGATAAAATAATTTCCATTAGCATTTTCACCTTTAAACATTTGTTTTTTCAATATTGGTTAAATCTAGAAGTTGAATATTAAATTTAATCGGACGAGAATATTAAGAATATTAAATTTCAATATCGAATTTGATTTAGGCCACTGTGCCCTCAGCAGTATCTGGCAGGATTTTCTCTTGGTTTATCAAATAGCTTCTCTGAACCAGAAGCAGCTTTTCCTCTTGATTTTGATAGGCCATCATCAAATATAATCCCTTCAAAGCAGAATTTTTGCGATGGACCAACCCCCGATGTCATACATAGGAAAAGTTCTAGCATGGATTCACAAACTATAGCCGAACATAGTCAGATGACGAGTAAGTGATAATCTTTCAGTGAAATATATTCGATGATATAAATTTTTTAAGATAAATTCAACTAGGAATCAATTGATTATATACTTTTTCGTTAAAATTTCCGAAATTTATAGAGGTTTTTCAGTCGTTTTTCAGTCTTAAAATAAATTAATCCAATATAGGTGTGCGAAAGGCGAGCACTGTTACATCTGTTGAACATCTCGATCGTCTCTATAAGGAAGGTAGAATGACTGGTGGCAATTTTCTATCCAGAAAGCGATTGGCTTTATCGAAAGTTGGTGCAAATATCAATGATGCAACATTTTTTACCCAGTCGAGATCAACCACTGATTTGCACACATATGCTAATGTTGCTGAACTTTCACAATTAGAAGGGAGATCAGGATCGGGTTCACCTAGCACTGGTGCATTTCCAGATCGGTAAATTTTGTTATAGGTTTCGTTGCTTCAACTGAGCTCAAGCCATCATAGGTCCATTTCCTGTCCTTTGATAGGACTTATGATTAAAAGTGAAAATTCAGCTATTGCCAGTCATCCAACTGTATTTCTATCCTTAATAACTCCCTGGCCGAAAGTCATTGACCTAATAGATAGGAGAGCTACTTAAATAGAACTTGTAAGTACTATTATAATAGATGATGGTGATGGTAATGAAATTTTGACGAAATTTTCTTATCACCTAATGTGATTAACATAATATGATTTGAAATAATTTTGAAATGAGGTCAATTTTCTTTGATTTATTGAAAAAAAGTTTTTTCTTCATCAAGTTCCTATTATTTCAGATCAGTTGGTGTTAGGCGATCGACATCGCCTCAAAACTGCAAGATGGAATCGTCAACGGAAACTAATTCATTAACAATAACAAGCCAAGATGATGAATCAACCCGATCACAGATTGATGGTGCAGTTTTGATCGATTGTGCTACTGGATCTCCAGATTCTACAAAAATTGATCTTGGAACTGTTTTTGAGGAAATTGCTGGTGGAATAGCAAATGGTGATTGTGAAAATATTTTAGAAGGCACTTCATCTCAGGTTCTTTTTTCCTCATAATTATTTTATCAGATTGTTTTTTGAATTAGATTTGGAATATTCTTGATAGATTTTATAAGATTTAGATTATAAGATTTAGATAATAATATTATAATATAAGATTATAAGATTTAAGAGCGATCTGAATTAACAGGGTCAAAATAGTACACGTCGATTCGAGCGTCGCTATCATACATCAGATGGAATTGATGTCACAAAACCAAAAGCTGCTGTCAGTCTTCCGCCAAGTATCCTTAAGCGTTTTTCTTGGAATGTTTCTTCTGCAGTAGGTGGCTCATCTAGGAAAATTTCGAATCGGATGAATGAGCAGGTCAGTTGACAAATTATTTAAAAATCGTCGATATTATATTTTATTTGCCGTTTAGAATTCCACCGCTTTGCTAGTCTTCTCCGATCATTTTTTTCTAAGAACCTACCGTCAACCTCTGATCATTAATTATTTAAAAATAATTATTTTATTCACGTTCAAATATTTTTATATGCCCCAATTTTTTCAGACCTATTTTAAAGGTCAGAAAGAAGAAAGAAACTTGATCATTACTTGTGGGATTTCACGTCTAAAAACTGTCTAATTTAAGGAATTTTTTAAAATAAAATATTTCCTTAATTGCTGTTATTTGACTTTCTAAGCTATTAAATTAATTTCTATTGGAACTCAAAAAAAGAATGAATATTCAGCAAAATCGCCGACATTCACAGTCAACGGTGACCTCTTCAGAATCATTTAGTAGTTCGACATCAGGTTTTAGCACGGCTTCATCGTTTCTTGATGGATCAACTCTAACAGACGATTCGTCCCCAAATAATAGTCCTGATGTTCACATTTCAACTGGTATAATTTGGCGTATTTTTTATATTTTTTATGCTCCATTTCAAAATATTTTAAAAAGTCGGACTCCTTTATTTTCTAATATAAATTCAAATTTTTTATGTATTTTATCCATGTTAAGTATTCTTTAATCCTTATTTATTATGGCAGTCACCATTGGCGAACAACGGACATTCAGCAGTAATTTCGATAGCAGCCGTACTCTTAGGATTAATTTTGGCGAAGATAATGAAAATCTCGATGAAAATGCGTCACAAATTCCTCCTCCTTTGCCTGGTGTTCCCCCTCCATCTTTAAAAAAAGAAAAGAAGCCACAACACAGGAAGCAGCAGGAATTAATGAAATTTATACTGGATAATCATCTGGAAACATCGTAAATTTTTTTAAATTCTGCAAAACTGAACAATTTTGAGCTTTTCCACTCTCTGTGCTTATATTTTTCGCTATTTATTTGTTGAAAAGTCACCATATATCAATTCTGCGGATGAATTTTTGTGGCTAGATACGATTTCATATTTATTGACTAAAGATACAACACAAAACGAAATATGTCTTGATAAGGATGTAATCAATGCTTGATGCTCGACACTGCAACGTTTTATATAAAGAGCACAGGTACAATGAATTAGTGTAACGATCGCGTTGGGAGATAAAATTAAAAACGTTACTGAAGTAAATTAGGAATAAAAAAGAACACATTGAATAATGAAATATTACACTTTAAAAAATCTTGAAATATACTGAAATTGGCTGAATTAGCCAAATTTTATAACATTTGATCTAAAATTTGGAAAAAAGAAAGAATTTTAGTATCCTATTAATTTTCGTACAATGCGCATCGTTCAACGCACAAATATGAACTTCTAGTAGTGATAGTTTTGCGTGATAGTTTCTAAAAATAAATGTGAAATTTTTGATTATATTGGATTGAAAACGCAAACTAAAAATTATCACCCCCAAATTACAGATTTCCTTCATTTTTAATTCTTGTTTAAGCGATGTATAACGCTGTGGAAATCAGTACCCTGTTGGTACCCTTAATGAACTGGCAATTATATAAGCAGTCTTGTTCAGTAATGAATTTTGAACAATCTCGCGAATTTTACCAGTTTTTGCTATCACAAAATATATGAAATTCTATCTACTTAACTACTTTTTATTATACAAAATATTTTTTCATGGACGAAGTACTACATCTGTGATCTTTGTTTGTCTTTATAAATTATTTCAAATATCTTTTATATTTCTTAATTTTTTTGTTGATCGACTTTTTCCCTATTTTTTAGCATATTTTAGGGCGATCATGCTCAGCGCAATTCAGTTTTCGAATTATTTTATCACTTTTTCATCGAATTATTTTGCTAGTATTTTAATATTTGATTGTAGAGATTTGAAAGCGCAATGATTTGGATTAATGCAAAATTAATTGTATAATTATATTTTGAAAAATCTTAAATTTTAAGTGTTTTTTCTTGGATTTAGAAAATACCGAGATACGATATTTACGGACATTTAAAATATTCAATATTTTAGAAAAGTGTAATTCTAAATTTGAATGTTTTGAAGGCATCAGTTTTAATTATCTCTTAATGATTAAAATAAATTTCTGTGCTAATCTTTTTACATTTACTTATTTTAATAAAAATTTTAAATTTTTCTTTTTTTTTATTTTTGGCAGTGATGAATGAATAAATTAATACAGAATAAACATTAAATTTTTATTGTTAAAATATCGAAGAGCGGCTTACACTGGTTTGTGGTTCTGATATCAGAGATCAGATGTCTCGTTCTCACTAGGAAAAACATATTTTTCAAGAATCCGACTGATGTTGACTATTCACTATAGTTCTATCGCCAGTGGTCCGTTAAGCGAGTAGAGCGAGTCCAACCAAGAATGGTGAGGGAGAGCTCTCAGAAAAAAATTCTTAATACATATTTTTATAAATTAATATAAATTAATAAAAAGTATAATATATAAAATAAAAATTCTTAACTGCAACCTTGAGAGAAAATTTGTGAAAGAAATTAAAACTTTGGTGAATCCAACATGTATGGAAGAGAGGTCGTGAGTCCTTCAAAACTATGGAACATAATTTTGACTGGAATATTTGCAACCTGTTTTTTTAATATCTGTACAAAGGTTTATGAAATCGTTTATGAAATAAAATGGGAATTTATCAGCATTAATAATGAGCGGTTTAATGATGAAACAAACAAATCTAACTGATTAACTGTTCAAACATCAATAAGTCGAATAATGAAACCTATTTATTCTCATTTACAGAAAAAAATCCATCTACCAGCCAACTCAATCCGTGCTAAAATTGTTAAAATAGAAAGATTATCAAAATAAGTGTTTTCAACTGAAATAATGTGAGAAATAACTCTTCCTCCATGTATTCGATCTTTGATGTCTAAACATTTGTTCACAAAGATTTGAACAATATCAAGAAAGTTCACATTGTTTCTTCTATGCACAAAATTTTTTTGAAAATTTGAATTTTGAACTCTTTCTTATCCTCAATTATTATTTTAAAATACAGCTTGTATATTTCGAACGAAAATGTGGAATAATTCCACCCAACTGTAGTCGTGGATGCTAAATGTTTACCATTGCTGCGAAAAAAACTGTGCACCAGCCGACAAATTTAGAAGCATCGAATTTTTATGGATTTTCGATACTGTTTTTTATTTCTATGTTTCTATGCTTTTTGAAAAATTGCCTGAATGGGCTCACCATTTTTTATGTCATTTTTTGATGGAAATCATTATGGAGGTATCATATGAAGGAAACTTTTGAAGAGGTGGAGCGCATTTTGCCTCACGAGATAAATACACACACACATAATACACTGCACTTTACTTTCAATCCCGTTATCATATGATTTTTCTCCAATATCTTCAGAACTTACAAAGAAACAATGACGATAGAAGCACCATCAAACGCTGTAAAACTTTTAAATCGGTGCAGTTTGTTCCTCTTAAATCGTTTTAATTTAACATTTTTGCATAGGTTTTTTTAATTAATGAATATATTATTTTTAATATATTTCTTTTCTTTAAGTTAATTTCTAATTTCTAATTTTTAATTTAAGTTAATTAATAAATTTCTTTAAGTTAATCCACCATTCCACCATTCTATAAATTTACACATACACTTTTTGATAACTTTCTTTAAATATGTTTATTTATATATATTCTACAAATTTTATTTCAATAAATATCAAGCAAGTGGTGACTCACTATTTTGCTCGTATCTCCACTGCCTGCGGCTGTTGGTGCAATTAGAAATTTTTGAGCAATGCCAAAGAGCAATGGAAGTTCAAGTGGGTCTCCAGATCTGATCTTGACACTTTCGACAATAATCTGAGCAATAATCATTCGGCAATTCTGCCTCCCAATAAATGTTTAGATCGATCATCTGAATCGTGGTCATTTAGCCATTTTGGTTAAAAATCTCTTTCACAGATCTTAGTCCTTTACGATGAGGTTTTAAAACTTTTAAATATCCAGTATAGAAACTTCTTTGTGGATCCTCAGACCTGTCCGTTTTTTACGATCTTTCTTTTTTAGATAAATCCAGTTCCTAGAATCATCACATAGAAAAATCGAAAAATTTTTCCTGTCTTAATAAAATAGCTAGAGCATACGCTATCTTTATTTTTCCATTTTACGGAAATTCAGATATGGTCACGGATTTTTTAATTTCTTTTTCTTTGATAAGATTTCATTTATTTTTGCAATGTTTTTTATGAGAAAGCTAAAATTCATTTGTTATCGATCAAAAACAACTGCGAGAAGCGATTTCTTAAAAATAAAATCAGTTATGATTCTTAAGCATGACGAAAACTAAATCTTCGCTATTGTTAAATATATCTTCCTGAAATTAATATATTTGGCGAAATAGACAGGAGGAAGATATTGTTTTCATTTTTCGGCAAAAAAAGATATTAGTTAGAAAATTTAATTTATGTTTCTCGATCGGGATTGGATTCATATTTATAAATACATCTTATAAATTCCCCTTTTTCAGAATAGACACTCGTTTTGTTGATGCAATGGCTTACGAAGCAATAACAGTCCGTATGAATCGAAGCAACGAGTCAATTTCATGGGGTTTTACAGTAGGTGGCGGTAGTGGATCACCTCTAAGAATCGCATCTGTAACTTTTCCATTCCTTTCTTTGAAAAGGTCCAGAATATATAGTAGTTAGAAGTTATATTTTAACAATAACAATAAATATTTATTTGTTCAATATATATTTATATACTTATTCTAAGAAATAAATAACGACTCATCCTATTTCTTGTTGCAGATTGAAAAAGATAGCTTGGCAGATAAAGCGGGCCTAGAAACTGGTGATATTATTACGGATTTAGTTGGACGTAATACGAAAAACATGTCCTTACACGATGCAAAAGGACTGGTAGAAAGAAGTGTTCATGAGATATTAATGAATCTTCAAAGGTTATTCGTCCACAGACGGGCCGCAGAACATTGAGAAAAAAACATTTTTTTTAATAAAATTAGGATAAAGAATAAATGAGTTTTAATTTTTCTCAAGAAATGGTTGAACTTTAACTTGTGGAAAATGAACTTTATGTTTTTTTGGAAAAGAAAAAGTGTTTAAGTTAAAAAATGAAGTGTGAAAAATATGAATTTTATGATGAAAAAGAACTAATCATCTAGATATTATACAAGCCATCCGTGCCTACCGTGGAATCTGACAGAAAGGGATAACAAGATTATTGTCGATCGAATTCAATCTTCTGATTCGTCAATTCGACACAAAACTTATCAGGTGATCGATCATTTATGGAAATATTTATATTTTTAAAATTTGTAAAAGCAGGTTTAAATTCAAGACAAAATTTTATTCCAAACATTCCTTAATACCCTTAATTAAGATATTTTCTTCCATTTTATTAATTTTATATTTTTTTTTGACTTCAGAGCGACGAAATAAATCAATTTTCTTCACAAACAAAATCGCCTAACAGCATACCTGTACATATCGAAAATTATCATTCAGAGGTCGAGCAATTCTCACTTATTTTACTCTTGCTAAGTGCGAAATAAATCATGAAAAAGAATTCTTCCTTGAATATGACTTTTTTTTTTTAAGAGTCCTCACAATTACTGGTTAAACTCGCTCCACTGGCTTGTCGCATTCGGCAATATGCCATGGAGTTCCTTGGCGATAGAAATACAGGTGAGCCACCAGCATCACCAGGATTTCTGCACAGATTCACTCGTGCGGAGAATCGAACCTCAGCATCGGCACTCCCAATTGAGCAAAAACCCACTGAGCCATTCTTTTTTCAAGTATTCCTGTTCTCCATGAATATGAATACTCTATTTAAAAAAATAGTTTAAAAATACAAGCCAAAGAGAAAAAATCTAATCGGTATATCATTTCAGCAAAACAAAATAAATCGGCCAAATGACTTATCTTATCAAAATGCACCGTTCACCAACGTGACTAATTCAGCGCAACACACTGGCAACCATCGTTCGTCAGGATTTCAAAACTCCTACACTGCAGAAAGCTATACAAAGTTTCTTCATTTTCCTAAATTTAAGCTCTTTTTAGCTTTAATTTATTATAAAATTTCCTCATAATTATTACGACTACTTTATAGAATTGAAACTTAAATTTTAAAAAGAATCGCTACTACTACTTTTTTATCAACAAAATTAACAAAATATTAATTAACAAAATATTCTCTGCACGGGCAATTCGCCTTTTTTTTGCCCTTTAATCTCTCATTTCTACTTTTCTTGCCTCTTTCATTTTACGCTTTTCTCTTTAAATACTTTCTCACATACTCAGATCAATTTTGTCAGGAAAATATCGAACTCGGACGATGAAAGAAGCGAAAGAAATAGAACACATTTTATGCCCACAGAGTATCAAAGCGGTATCAATGAAAATTCGTATCGTCGTCATATACAGCAGCAGCAACAAAACCAAACTGGTAATGGATTTAGAACTACATATATGCCGATTCACATAGATACGAAAGCTAGTGAACCATTCGATGCAAGGTCGCTGCATAAATCACCCGATGAAAGCCATAGTCAACAATCGTTCGCCTCAAATGCGAGAAATAATTATCGTGAAACAGGTTCGCTATCATCAAAATCCAATAAGTGATTAAGTGGTACTTTTAAAACAACTAATAAATAATTAACAATAAATTATCGTAAAGCTTTTATGAATGAAGCGACAAATAAACAAATTATAGGTAATGTTCGGTTCATACATTCACCTCGTACCATTCGTCAGCTTTCTCCATCAGCGTCCATTCGACATTTGCAATATAATTCGCCAATGAACTTATATTCTCCTGAATCTGCTGCCGAACAATATCTTCAGCAGACAGGAGGACTTTTTGGTACCGAGTAAGTTCTAACCGAGTAAGAAATTTTAAAGAATTTGCGACCTCTTCATGGAGAAAATTTCAGGTAGATAATGAAGGCTAGGTAATGTATGAAAAGTACGGTTAATTCATATTTTATCTTATTTTTTGTTATTTTTTCATTATTTTTATTTTTTTATTAATTTATTTTTACTGATTTTAACGAAAATTAGCAAATTAGTTTTCTTTTCTTTTAACATTGCTGGTCTGGCTTACTCTATTGACAACTGCGATAGGATCTTTCCAAGCCTTCGGAATGAATGTTGTAAAATAACTCGTTTTTCCAATATCTATGCCCAAATATCGCCGGATTGGAGAGTAAAATGACTCAATTATTGTTCAGTTCGGAGCACCGATGCTGAGGTTCCATTTCCTGTAAACCTGTCTAGAAGTCCATGTGAAGTTAGAAAGTTAGCGACTCACCTGTTCTTCTGTCGCCAAGGGACTTCCTGGCATCTAGTCCAACAACCCAGAGGAGCATATTTGACCAGTAATGGTGAGGGATCTTAAAAAAAATATCGCTGGACAGCCTTGCAAAATCTTTCTCAACCGTATCGTATTTACAGTTCTTAAACAGTCCTCGGTTTTTGTTCAGTGACGTTATCATAGCAAAGTTTAGCTAGCAGAATGATATGATATGCGTGAATTTCTGTGATGGATGATGGATGGCACATCCTCTAAACAGTACAGACGACGCTTTTGATAATATTATTAATGCAGATAATAAGTGAAAGTAAATACAATCAGATGAGATATTGCATACTGGAGATAAGACTTCAAATGGGGCCAGTATGGCGTATCGGCCATTGGTGTTGGAGTTCTTTAATACCTCAGTTTAAATGGCCAACTATTTCTGAATTTTTGAGACGATCAGAAGATTTTGGGTACAGACATTCTTACAATCTTTCTCAGCCGTACCGTATTTTCCCATATATGTTTTGCGCATTACATTGTTGCACAAGTTCATCTTGACATTAGCTTTAACCATAATCCGATGATTTTTGTCGGTTTCGCAATATGGGTGGCTATTTGGCACAGAAATTTCCCAGAAAATAGAATCAATTCTATTCGGGTATTGATTGATTTTCCGCGAATTCTAGGTAAATTTTTGCAATGCTGAGAACATACATTTGTGGTAAAAAACCCATATTCGTCAGCAAAGCAAAGAAAACATTCTCCATAAAACATTCTGCACAAGATCCCAACGCCTAACTTTCCAGCCACAGAAAATAATGGGACAGCCCTAACTTAAACAACCATTCCAATCTCCTACAACCATGATTAAGCCGTCTCTGGGAAAGTTGCTATTAAGTTGCTATTAAGATGAAGTTCTGCTTAGAATCCATCATTGTCCAGACAATCCCTTCACAGAGTGGCAGTATAAGCATTGACCGAAATACTGCATAACTTTTAAAGTTGATGTGGATCTCCATCCAATCATTAACACGCACATCGGAATATGAGGATGAATTGTTTGACTTTTTCGCCATAGAACTGCCCAATGGAGATGCAGATCTCCAACTGGGATTAATGACAGATTGTGCCAAGATAAGCATTAATGAAATTTCCACGGATTTTTTACCGAATTGCTGAAAATAATAGTTATAATAATAATAGGAAAAATTTTTATCACCTATTGTTTTTTCGCTTTTATCAATTAATTGAAGTATTTATATTATTTTTCATAGAAAAGACCTAAATTATTTAAAAGAGAAAAAAAAAGACACAGCAAATTGAATTTATCAGCACAACCATAAGTCAAAAGTGCAGTGATGACACAACAGACCACGATGAAGATACGTTATAAAACTGAAAGATGGCGTGTCAAGACTGGCATTAAAAGATCAGAGAAAACATTAGGCAATTAATTATAAAGTGTATCTGATCCTTTCACCATAGAGTCATTTGGGGATAAAGTTACAGGTGGGTCCCCAGCAGCCACCCGGATTTTTGACATAATAGCAGATTTAGCAGGTTTACTCCTGCTAAAGATAAAAAAATTAATTTTGAAGAAAATAATAAAATGGACAATGAAATTTAAAAAGAAAAAAAAGAAAGAAAGAAAAAAGAAAAGAAAAAAAAGAAAGAAAAAATATACATATATATATGACTATATGTATATATATGAAATATATGTATTATTTATACAATTTAATTTCGATCTTAATATGTGGTTCTGAAACATGGCAAATGAGAGTGGAGGACAATATTAAGAACTTATCTGCCTTTGACCACTCTTTTCTAAGGTACATATTACGGATCCGTCGAGTGGATATATCACAAGATCGCATCTTCGTTCAAATACTACTTGCATAAATAATGTTATCACAAAGCGCCACCTTCGCTGGTTAGGGCATATTCTTCGTCATCCACAAGAATTGACGCATATTTCGTTATTTGCTAAACCATGTGACGGTTGGCGTCAAAAGCGAGGTGGGCCAGTCAAGACCTGGGACTGATACGGTGAGAAAAGATTTTGAACGTATAGGTGGACCAGCAATATATAGACTTAGACAATGGAAAAAGGAATGGCTTCCATTACTGTCGACGATGGCATCAGACCGCGCAGCTTGGAAGCGTCTTACCCTTGTAGCCGTTGGAGCCAGCCTAAGTAATGGTGAGAGCTGTTAGAAGAAGAAGAAATTAATTATAAATTCAAAATGTATTCCCTTTTGTTTAACCATAATTTAAAAAATGAATTTCATGCAAAAATCATTCAAAAAATCTTATTTAAATAGTAGGCAAAGATTATTTTCTAGTTATAAGTAAAGAACTGTCGAATGCTTTGATTATCATTTCGGGCATTATGATTCGACCTTTCCCTTCACAGAAATAAAGGAATCTGGATAGGGCTGGAGGGCTATATTTTTATTCCTAGGTGACTCGCCACCACATTCATTATACCGCAAAATTTTCAGCCCAAATCTACGAAGACATGGTGACGCTCCATATTTAACATCAGAGACGAGGCGATTAATCGCTGAAGAGGAAACAGGCAAAGATTTTCGTGCACATTCACCGTCCGCACAAAGCGCTAGCTTTAAACGAATTTCTCGCGCGTGTGGTACTCCCGTCGATTAGTAATTATGTGTGCTAAGATGAAAATTAATATTTTTTTATATCCAGTGTAATCGGCGCGTTGAATGTGAATTTGAGTTGTTTAAAAAAAATAAAAAATGAAAGCGGAAAATCTACAGGATGACAATATTTATAAGCTAATTCTTGGAGTATACGAAGCAATTCACGATTCACGAAAGCAATTAATATATTTTAATGGTTAATGCGACATAAAAGCAAAAATAAAGAAAAATAAAAAAAGCAAAAATATGCAAAATTTGTGGAACAAAAGCAAAAATTGTTGAAATTGCTGGGAAATTGCGAATAAAATGAAAATTGGTGTAAATTGTTTTAAAATTGATTGAGCTAAGGTTTTTTAGTTTTATTTATATTGTATAATATTATAGAAATTTTTTAAATAATTATATTATTTCAATAATTGTAAGAAAATATATATGAAAATCTCTAGATTTTACATTAGTTAATTTTCGTTCCGATAAAACTTTTGCTAAATTATGGATTTGTGTTCTATTTTACAGTGAATTAATTAATTTATTAATCTATTTATTTATTTATTCTAATATTGACCCAAACATGGCATTAAAAGAATATTATGCTGTCAATAAAAGAAAGAAAAAACAACGAATAAAACTTTTTAAGGACATAACAAGCCAAAGCGATTAAATTAAAATAGCACAGTTTTGCAAAAACTTTTATCATTTTTTTTTTTAAATCTCTTTAAAAAAATGTCAGGAAGCTTTGTAATAAATATAAATTAACCAAATTGCCAAGTGACCTTTCTGCATATAAAGAATGTTTAAGAAGTTTCCGTGGTACCGTTCATAATTGCTTTTTAAATAAAATGGAGCAAATTTTAAATATTTATAGAAATTCTTTCTGGAAATACATCAAAAGAAAATTTTCAAATCCACGTAAGCAGTTAATTCTGCAATATAATGATAATGTGGTCACATCTGATATTGATATTGCAAGTATCAATATTTAATCAATATTTTTCCAATGTATTTGTTGATGAGGATAATACTCATATTCATTGTAAATCGAATTTGTTGCACTTCTCTCGATGAAGTTGAAACAACACTACTGGATGATTATGATGCCTTAAATAGACTTAAGCCGTCCATTTCAGCTGGTCCCGATAATATTCCACAAATAATTTATAAAAAATGTGCAATTTCACTGATTTTTTCACTATTAAGGGGATATAAAATCTCCCACTATTTTTAATTTATAAAGACATTATGAAATCTGACCTTAATTTAGAAATTTAGAAATTGTCTCATATAATTCTCATTATAAAGAAAGAAAACACCTATGACCCTTCTAATTATAGACCTATTAGCCTGACATGCGTTGGTAGCAAGGTACTCGAAAAGTTGATTGCAACAAATTGATTACTTATCTTGATGCCAATAATTTTATGTCCTCTTTCATGGCTTTTGTACAAAAAAATCCACTTCTAATATTGGCAAATCTTTCTGATTGATCTGCTTCAATTGACAGTGGTAAAACAGTATCAGTTGTGTATCTAGATTTGGCTAAAGCTTTTGATACTGTTTCCCATAGCAAATTATTGATCACTCTTAATAGTTATGGCATTACAGGGGCCCTTTATAACTGGGTATCAGATTACATAAAAGACCGTCATCAAACCGTACTCGTCAATAATACTCTTTCTAACATAAAACCTGTTAAATCTGGTGTTTCTCAAGGTAGTTGTATTGCGCCATTGCTTTTTCTATATATAAATGATATCACCAAAGTAGTACTAAATTCTGCCATTTATCTTTATCTTTATGATGATTGTAAAATTTTTTATTTTCATAGACCAGATAGCCTATCTCCACTGCAGCAGGACCTCAATAAAATAGCCAACTGGCTATATGATATGCAAATTAGGCAAATTACTCTGTCCTTTCAAAAATGTAGCGTTCTTTGTATTAATTCTAAAGGTTTCGATTTATCCTAATCTTTTTATTAATGGTAATAGAATAAGTAGAATCATTTCGGAACATGGAGTAATCATGGATGAAAATCTCGATTTCAACCTTCACTGCAGAACCATGGTAAAAAAATCCTCAAAAATACTAAATTTTATTTTTCTTTCGTTTAAGAATAAAACCAAAGATTTTCTTATCAAAATATATCAAAAAAAACGTCAAAAAACGTATATTCGGTCACTTCTTGACTACATGTTACTCCCCGAGATATCGTAAATTAAGTAAAATAATTGAAGGACTCCAAAAATATTCTATAAGGTGCCTCTCTCCTATTTGCAATTTTAATTGTATTAAATTGTATTAAACAAGATTTAATTTATACTTATAAGATTTTGTATGGTTATGTTAAATTAGATTGTTCAAAATACTATAATTTTACGTTAAATTTAAATCCAACAAGAACTAATGGGCTAAAATTACTAAAACCTATGTGTAAAACTAAACTAAGGACTCATGGTTTCTTTATTCGTAATATTTATTGCTGGAATAAACTACTGAACGATATAGTTTGTGTAATCATCCCTAGCTATCTTTTAAAAAAGCTTAGATAATATCATTCACGATATTATTTAAAAAATTCACATTATGCAGGAAGTGTGAAATCTCGATTTTTACCATCCGATTATAGTTATTTCGAATTGTGTTATATTATATTATTTTGTAATTTCCTCTTTATTTCATTTCATTTTTAAATTGTTAATTATATTTTATTTCTTTTTTTTTTGTTTTTGTCACTAATTCTTATTATTTGTCATTTTAATCTGTTGTTATTAATACAAGCACATGGCATTTGCGTCCTGCTTGGCTGATTTTCAATAAATAAATAAATAAATTTTTATTGTAGACCTTCCAGACCTTTTATATTTATTATAAACGATTGTTACAGTCGTTTTTTGTTTTGTTTTTGTTTCATCGTTTGATGTATCCCTCACATTTATTTATATCAGTATACCCTTCTTATTTAAATCTATAGACCATAATGCGAAATTATGATACAATATGTGCAGAAACTACCACAGAGGTAATTTTATAAGTGAAAAGCAAAAGCATACCTTATTCTTCTAACATATAACGAATTCAATCGCTATAATTTTAGCTTCTCTTTATTTATATCTACTGTTATACTGATTTAGAAGGAAGTATCTAAGGAAGTAACAAGCATGATTTATTTTATATGGAGCTTTTTCTTAAGCGACATATTCTTGCGAAAAAAATGGATTTGCTGTAAAAAAGCTACAGTTCTTATTGAAATATTTTTCAAGAGTTTACTGGTCAAAGCAACAGAAAAATCGAATAAGACAGCAAATGAACAAGTGTGATGGATTCAATCCTTCCATCTTAATGTGCCATAAAAATAAAATAGTCTTAAAAACGAAAGCTGGTTCGTAGATCTATTTTATTTAAAATAAAATGAAGTCGAAATTATTCTGGGAACCAATCTCTCTTCCAAAGAGATATCATTCTAGTGGTAAATAAAACCAGTGAAATCAGAATTGTTTGTAAAATGAAAGCTCTTGAATGCTCTTAAAAAATCGAACCAAATTTCATGTTTAATAGTTAAAATCCTTATTTTTTTGAGGAAATGTTTGGAATTTATTATCAAATTAAAATTATATTTGGTTTCAATGTAAAACAAACTAAAAAACCAATCAAAAAATTTTTATCAATAATATTCTACTCAAAAAACGTTGAAGTTAGCTGAAAATAATCCTTGATCGTCCCTTAAAATAATTCTTGACTGCTTTCGATTTCTGGAAAAATTTTTTCCTAATTCTAATTTTTCATAATTTCTATCGGTCCATTGGTAATTTATCTTTGACTGCTTAATTAATAGCAGGTTCTTAACCAGACTGGTTAGCACAGGAAAGGTATTGATCATGAAAGTAAGGAAATAACACCATCCGGCTGCCGACCAATAAACTATCTTCCCATTATGTGGATCAGTACGTACTATCATGCACCATAGTTATCAAGCTCTATATGAACCAGTATATGAGTGCAGTTCAAAAGGACATTGGGAACAATATTAAAGGCGCCACACTATACATACACCACACATAGAGAGGAATCGCTCGACAAATCTATATGAGTATAACTTAGATTGACTAGACAAATTTATGACTCAATACCGCACATATGGGTGTCTGTGAATCTGGCTCTGTACAAAGTCAGCAGGATATTCAATAAAAGATATACATTCATCGAGAAATTAATAGGATTGTGGAAAAGGCACTTGAAATCATCCCAAAACAGCATAAGCGGCATGTATATCAAGGTTGTCCACGCATTGTCCCCCCTTATTCTTCTGCATAGGTCCTCAGCCAAATAATCACAAGAGGGCTCTAAGTGTAGATTGCTCAAAAACATCGCAGAAAATCCAACATATAGTGGAAGGAGGTAAAATGCAAACAGAATAGCATATGAAGTAGTTAGCATTATCTAAGGAAGAACGGTTTGAAGATAAAACATTCATGGACTGGAACATAGAACCATAGATTGATCCACCTATAAACAAGAATTTGTCCAAATATCACCATAATCAATTTCTCTATCAAGAATTTATCCATGTGTTATAGTAATCAATATCTTATTTCCAAGCTCTTCGAGTCAATGAACTTTATAACCTTGATTTGCGTATTTTTCCAATTTTTTCTAATTGCATCACTTTTAGCGTAACATCACTTTTTATTTGTATTTGAACTGATAATTGCATTTCATCAGTGGGATAGTATAATCGTGGACTTTTCGCGAATTATTGCACCTACTGATTATCTTTGGTTATTTAATTTTGAAAGCCAAGATTTGATAAAATGATAAATAGAAAAAAAAGAATTTTGTTTATTAAGAATGACGATGATGATTGATGATTGATGTAAGACGCTAGTATTGTATCCTTTCTTAGCAAAAAAAATGCGACAAAACGAGATCTGTTTAAATGAAGAATTCTACTGCGGTTGTGACGCAGTTTCGCTGGTTTGTTTCAGCAGCCTTTTCTAAGAATTTTTCTTCGTGATTTCTGTGCATATTTTAAAGTAACAATTATCATATTTAAAGAATTTTTTGCTTTTGAAAGTTCATCCATATTTTCCCATATCTCATTTGAATAAAATAAAAACAAAAGTTCGTCTTCGCAATTCCAGTTGAGTAGAACAAAAGTATTATATTTTTTTATTTTATTATTTTTTACTCCAATCTTACTACAAATATTACAATTCTTACTAAAGGATTCTTACCACAAACTATTAATTAATCAACTTAAAGAATGGGAGAAAATTATTTAAATGAATTTCAAGGAGGTTCCACTGCTTCCACTGCTTTCGATGAATAATGAAAAACGATCTAGAAATTTGATTTAGTTTAGAAAAACCTGTTATGTGTTGTTATGAGCTTGAAAAAAATCGATGATTTTGGTAACTTGTGGTTATTAAAATCAGTTATCTTGCGTCTTATATCACTTCTTCGTTTAATTTGATTTAAAATAAATTGTTGAAATTTTCATGGTATGCCAACCGCAAACGATATTGTTAAGCTTATTCAATTTTTTGCTTCATTTAATTCCTTTCTTTATTTATTTAAAATATTTCTGCAGAAATTTTAAAAAAGGGATTATCCAAAATAAATTAATTTCGATATAAATTAAAAGTTTGCAAGAGAAATATTTATATGTAAATGTTCTACATATGGAAGTTCTTAAATAAATAAATATAAATAAATGATTGATTTAAACCAAAATTCAGGATTTATCTGTGTTAAATCAAAATATTTCTGAAAATTTCCCTTTTAAATTATTAAATTAACAAAGTTTATTTTCAAAGCAGTTAACTGATAATTTTAAATTGATGAATTTTAAATGAAGATATTTGAGATTACAGATTTGAGATTATTAGTCGCACATATTTAGAAAATCGTGGATGTTGAAAGGGATTGGAGATTTTGTCTTTTCCACATCTCTTGATGGTTCAAAAAAATATTCAATCTCGAGTATGAATTAAACTTGTTTCAATAATGAAATAAGATTCTTATAAATAATTATGTTAATCTGTTGAATTGCATTTGTTGAATTGAATTGAACTGAAATATTGCATCACTTTTGCCTTCGCCCGAATGCGATTTTCAATAAATTAATAATCTCCGACTGAAGTAACGCTGAACATCAACGACAAAAAAAAATTTATGCAATATTCATGTCGACCCGAATTTCTCTTTTATCTCGTAAACTTTCCTTTTCCTGTAGTGTTTTGCGCATGATATAACTCTTCAATCATATAATTGTAAAGTAATTATGCTACATTTGAATCGCAGAGATAGATTGCAATACAAAACTCGTTTTCACTCACTGTTTACAGAGGAACTATGGAGAAGACAAAAATACCACCAGTTATACAACGTTCAATTCGTCCATATCATCGTGGTAACGGGCCGCTGCGCGGTGGTGGTATGACAGCTATGTATGGCGTTTCGCCAGTAAGTTTTTTCGAAAACTAAGAGTTCGTTTATAAAGCGCACAATTTTTCGCCAGATTTTATTCAAACATCCGGAAGTAGAATGGCTCATTGGGTTATTGGGTTTCTATTACGGAAAGCAGCTGGAATAAATAAATCATCTTTCAAAAATAAGATAATGCTGGCGATTCAACTATACTTTTATCACCTAGTGACTCATTGGCAAATTTTTCTGATCCGGCAAACCAGTGATCCTAACCAGAAATGGTGAGCTGAAGAAAAAAAGCTTCTAAATGTTAAAGCTAAACCATTTCTTGCCGCACAAAAAAATTGGATAATTTTTCAAATACATTTTCCAAAAATTTAACTCAAAAATAATTTGAAAAAAGAGAAAGTGTATCATTAAGCAAGTAAATGAGAATCAGAGAATTTTTTTTCTTCAGAATATGAAGAATTATAAGAGGAAACTGGATAATCGTCTTGGCTACTGTATATTTGCCTGCCAAATTACAATCGCTACTATATTGGTTGTTTATGGATTAATTCATCAATATACTCATGATGAACTTGTTAATTATATTATTACTACAAAAGAAATTATTATCAACTCTATGCCAACAATAGAACCTACACAAGAGCAGAAGGAACCGATGCAACTGATTGGTGAGTCAGTTCATCCATGGAGCTTTTTACGAATTTATTTTTGTGCTCCTATCCGATCCTTAAGCGTTTCTACCTCAGTAAATTTAAGAATGTAATAATTTCATTGAACTGAATATTTTTAAATTAACAAGGTCAATATCCATAATTTGTAAGATGTAATAGGAAATAGGTTTTTAATATGTGAAGTAACTATAATTTATAACTATAATATACTACTATAATATAACTATAATTTTCGTTCAACATTACAATATTTCACCAGGTCAGCGTCATATCGACATTGAATTAGAAATGGTTGAACAGATTATAATTTGCCCTATGTAAACTAAGTTATGGAACTAATTTTCAATAGGTTATTTTTTCTCGTATAATGCTGGATGATTGCATCATTAAATACCTCTCGATTTCTATAGCCTTATTTTTTAGAATTTTCGATTCTTATATTGATATTTTTGATTAAAATTGAATAAGAAATTAAATTTGAATCGAATTAACTTTACGGCCATTAAGCATTTTTTCTCTCTCTTTTAATATAATCACATGTCCTTGTGAATTTCAAATGTTTTGTAGTAGTTCCTTAATTTTAAAGCTACGTTTAGTTAGATTAATGTATTAATGGGCCCATACGTATCTTCCGTGCTGCAAATTCGTTCGAAATTTTGTTTCTCTTATTAATGATATTCAGACAGGATAAAAATCTTTTATTATTCGGACCTCGAAAGCTGTATTAGAGCATGGGCCAATATAAAATTTTTGAAGTTTAAGTATAAATTCAAAATTTAAAGAGTCTTCAACTCTATAATTTTCAAAGCAAATAAATGAGAGTTAAAAGTGTGGATGCTTTTGCAATGATTGTGGTTCAGTGATTGATCGTTGCCATTTCTTTGATTAAATTGGCTCCACTGTCTGTTATGGTTTTAAAAAAATTTTTACCAAGGAATTATTTAGCGACAGAAATATCGATGGGTCGCCAACATTTAATATCACCCAATATTTAATATCTGACAGTCATCATTAAAATGAGCAAAGCATTATTGTTTTCCCTAATTATTATTATCTTTCTTTATAAATTCTAAATTCTACTATAAACATTGGAAATATTGCTAATAAATGAGAATTAACCACATATGATCAATATATTTCTATAATACCTAATAATTTTGCAGAAATTAGTAGTAATTTTACTGATACGAGTTTCTCTGCTAACGAACAGTCATTGGTTGAACCAGAATCATGTCTTGGTGCAATAGATGTTGATACAGAGAAGTGTCTCACAGTAGATGAACTGCAAGAAGATTACGATATGTTGCATGGAGTAATGTTTTAATACTTTAATGCTTTAAGTATGAATGTAGGAGTTTTAGATTTAATCCAAGGTTTTAAAATTTTTTTGAAGAGTTTCTTACATTTTAATCAAGTATTATTTTTTTAATGCAAAGTTTCAGGTTTCCTTCTACCAATAATCAAAATTTGAAGATTTTTGATATTTCAGAGGCTTACAAATGGTTTAATACGGCATAGGAAAATTTAGATACTTTAATGCATATCGTCAATATTTAATACAAAAATGCATTTTTGAATATAATTTCTGATATTTCAGTCAAATATTACTCTATGGAATCTTGCAACGCTGAATATTATCGTCGCATTATTTCTTATAACTGTCACCTGTGTCTTTGCAAACGGTATTGTTAAAGGCACTGCTGTCAAAATGTTTTATCGAGTAATTTTCTAATTTTATAAATTTAAAATTTCTTTTTATATTTCTCTTTTATGATTAAAAAATGTACATGTGTAAGCCATAAAATATAAAATATACTGTATTTGATCTTATTATTCACACGGAACTTCACTAAATTAATTTATTTCACTAGCTTGAAATAAGATTATAAGCCAAATTCACAGGCTATATATTTGAGATTAGGAGTAAATAGCAAAAAAAGAACAAATATAATTCTAGTAAAGTGAACAAGTTTTTAAACAGACATTGAAGGTAATTTATTCATAATGGCGAAAAATAGCAAGGTGGTTGAGTGGTGGAGGGCAACCACAGTCAGAGGTTTTATTCCCTGACCCTGTAAGAGTAAAACTGTAATTAAATGGAGGGCAACCACAGTCAGAGGTTTTATTCCCTGACCCTGTAAGAGTAAAACTGTAATTAAAAAATCCATGTGGCAATCCACTCGCACTTTGCCAATCATTCCTTTACAAAGATTTCTAACCTATTACCAATGGAATTAATCTAACAGGGAATGTGAACATTAATCATTTATTACTTATTTGCTTGCCACCATGAAAATCGAAATTTGTAAAAGCTATAGTTATTGCAGGTCACATTATTTATGGCCTTGTTTTTTATGCTTATTCAGTTAATATACCTCATTAATCCGCTATTTACAAGTGCTTTCCAATATTCACCATTGGTTGATAAATTATTAATTAAAAAATTACCCAGGTAACATATAATCTGCCAACTTTTTATTGCTATAACTCTCTTTCATTAAGTAAGTTTCATTAATTCTATTGGTTTTTTCATTAATTTTGAGAGTAATACAGCTAACACCTTACGACCATTTTTTGACTCTGAATGGTGGTGGGGATCCTTGTATTTCCAAATGATTCTTTAGCAAAAAGTTTTTTATCGCCATGGAATCAGCTAGAAATGGTAAGTACTGTTAAACAAAAATAATTTTTAATATAATTTTTTAATATAATTTAATTATATAATTAAAAATATAATTTTTTAACTGGATGCTTGATTTGGCTTAGTATCTTACTGGTACCAAATTATGTGCAAATTTGATTGTTTTTATTAGATTTTTTCTTAATGAATTGACATATATTTTGAAACTTATCAAATTATCAAGTAGAAGAAGAAGTAAATCTCAGGAATTTAAGTCTCAGTTATTCCAGACGATTAACAATATAGATAAGAATATATAAAAATATAAAAAAATATAGATAAGAAGCAATATTGTTTAGCATTTTAGGGACCGTAATGCGATGCTCGAAATCGAATCGCATTTCGCTTGTCAATTCGATACGATCGATAAACTGGTTGAAATGGGTTTGGAGGCAAGTTATTTGTAAAAAATTTCTACTCGTTTTTAAGATTTTCAGACATTGGAGAGCAATCTTGCCTGGCTTAATTTAGCATCAGATAATTAATTTGAAAGGCATATTTGAAAGTTAAGCTATATTAAAAAGGAAATTCAGAGATATAACAATAGTAAAAACTATACTGTTTATCTATCTATCAGTGTTTTCATTATTTCGTTGTTGCAGGAATCCTGTTTACCAAAAATCAAAAATAACTTACTTCCAGTTTATAGCGTTGTTTTGCTAATTGCTATCGATTTAATTCCGTTCAGTTTCGTACTTTTTACATATGCTTGGGATGCTTGCCTCAAGGAATCACATTTAATAAATAATGCAAGGCGACGAATTGAGTTGAATAATCAGCGAAGGTTATTATTAATTAATCATAGTCAAAGTTGAGTGCAGATCGAGTGGTATGTTGTTTTAAAGGAGCATCTTGGGTTCCACCCTATCTCTTGATCGAAGAAAACCAGTCACGAAATCTAAGTGGCACTCATCTTCTTCTAAGTGAATTCTGGTTGACGATTCTCTGGCGAAGAAGCACCACTGTAGCAGCTAGCGAAACTAGCCAAATCAGAAATACTGTTGGAAAAAGAAAAGCATATTGTATTTTATCAAAAAAGTAAGGAAAAAATTGCATTTTGCTGTAAAAAAGTTTTTTATAACAGTGGTTCCTAACTATAAATACCTTTTTCTTCTAACAGCTATCACCAGTACTGGTTAGGCCGGTTCTGCTGGTTACGAGAGTAAGAGGTCAAGATATTCGGTCCGACACCATCTTTAATAATAATAGAAGCTATTTCCTTTTCCATCGTCTAAATCCATATATCACTGATCCACTTATACGTTCCTATACGTTCAAAATCAGGTCTTGATTGGCCTTCCTCTCTTTTGATACCAACCATCATAGGAATTAACAAGTAAAAATATATGTCAATTCTGTGGCGGACGACGAAGAACATGCCCTAACCAGCAAAGACGATAGACGATGTTAATACAAGTGGCATTTGAGCTAGTGCGATTTTATCTATTCGACATATCTTACGCATGGGTGGTCAAAGGCAGATTGTTTCTTAATATCCTCCATTCTCAATGGCCACGTCTCGCAGCAATGTAGCAAGATTGGGCGAACTGTGACTATATAGACGCAGACTTTTGTTTTTATAGTGATTTCGTGACGAGTCCATAAAAGTCGGAAAAAAACATTTCTAGCAGTTATTATTCGGGTAATTTCGTCTCTTGCTTGGCTATTTGGGATTACAATGGATCCAAGATATTTAAAGTCTAGCGCTTCCTCAATGGCAATGAATTGATTGTCATTAACCATAGCTATATTTACTGGATAATTTTCTGGAAACAACTTTTGCGATCTATAAGAATATAAAATATCAAATTTACCATTTATTTTCGAAACCTTTTCTATGGAAAATATTTTCTTTGCAAAATTGGCAAGTGAGATCTTATCTTTTTTGTAGCCTATAACATTTGTTATTTTATTCAAATCCATTTCTAAATAATTTTTAAATCATTTTGATTTAGCTGAAGATAATTAACTTATTTATTAATATTAATAATATTTAATAATTCAGTCAAATCATTCTTTTTTTGAAAATTTCTATATAAAATATTTCTATCATCGTGCCTTAATTCTTTTAAAAGCAATTTTAGACCGCAGTCGAGGGAGGATATTTTGAAAAAAGCTATGGAAGATCCGAACTATGTATGAAAAGATCTGAAAAGTTTTTTTCTGAATTCTTATTGGGTAATAAGCAGTCTTTGCGATACTTATATTCACATATATTCACATATATACATATATACATATACATTGTCTTGTTTAAAAAAGATTGAATTTGTTTATTCCATCTTTCTCCTGTTTCCTTTTACGAAATTCAATAAATTTTTGAAATCAAGGATAATTTTTTTCATGGAAATAAGTGAATTAGATTCTAGGCTATCAGTATGTGCTTCCCTCGAAATTGTTGAGAAGTTTGGCAGATGATGCACAATGGAAATTATCTCAGTTAATAATAGATGGCTCATAATATTGAGCAGATTGCTTTCTGGTACTTGTTTTTTGTTGCATACTTATAGAACTTAAGAAGTACAGCGCAGCTATAAATCTGACTTGGTAAAAGAAATATTTGCTATAAAATAAAAACCGTTTTTACAAAATAGAAATATACTTTAATGCAAAAATAACAAAAATTAAGATCTCTTTGTTCTTTTTTTCCTTCCCAAATTTCTTAACTCTGAAACATCCTAAAAGTATTAATCAAATTGTTTGGCAGTCAACTATTTTTTCTTTTTAGTTTTCGAAATTTTGAGATCACAATGAAGGTCTCTAAAAAAAAGTAAAAGCATAATCGATGGGTGTTCTTATTTTTTTCACAGCTAATAGATAGAATCAATCAGAGTTGAAACATGATTATGTTAAGCAAAAAATGATATTTATTTTCTCAGTGAATACTTTAACAATAAATTAATATTTATTTGTATGAAATTTCAGATTTGATCTGAATTGTAGGTCAAATATATCAAGAAAGAGATGCTTAAATCGACCAAGTCTTACGTAATCGAATAAGACAATGCAATATTTTTATAGTTGGTCGCAAAATTAATTATACGCACAAACAAGTGCAGGTTTTGGCCAATTTTTATGAAGTACCCAAACGGTGATTAATATAGATAGGATAATAATTAGTTTTTATTTTATGCCATGTTCATCAAGCAGTGAAATTTACGGGCTGCTCAAATCTCATTTATTTGGCCATATTTTTTGTCTTATGATATCATCCATTAATTCATAAACTCCGCAGACCTTGTTTGCTGGAACCGCTTTATCTGGAAGTAATTTGTTAAAACATAAGCAACTAATAAAGAATCGATGTAGGTCAATATTACTAATAAAAATCAAATGCTATATATTTTAATTCTAGAAAAAACATTTGGTAAAAGTTATTTTACCGAAATTGAGTAATATTTAACTAAAAGTAATTAAAGTAGAAAATACTGGTAGCGGTCACTTATCTAGCAAGAAGGTGGAGAGAAATCATACTGTATGGGTCTGGATTTGAAACAGCAAATAGCATTTATGGATGATCCTAAAATAAATGTGAAAAAGCAGCAATTTGAGAAAAATACCGATCTGCTTAGGAGGCCCAAGATTAAGTTTGTCCATGATTTCAACGAATTCCTTCAATGGTTTCGTTAAACGAGGATTATATTTCTTCTCTTCGCCAACTGTAGACATAAGAATTCCCTAAAAAATATTTTAAAAACTCTTGCAAATGAATAACCTCGACCATTATACTGTTGTACAACAATATAAAAAGGATGTGGGATAAATCACCAAAATTTTGATGAAATACAAATTCAACAAGACATCACAAATTAACCTTATAATCGTGCCCAGGATAAATTTCAAAATCGTCGGGCAAAACGAAAATCTTCTTGTGGATTGCTTCGTAAAGTGCCGCTGAATTCCCTGAAATGGAAATATGGATGCTTCATCTTATCATTGAACCTAACAATCTATAAAATCTACGAAATTTTCAAAAAAGAATTTTAAAATGTACCTTGTTGAAAGTCAGTTCGACCACAACCTCGAATCAGAAGAGCGTCTCCAGTAAATACTTTTTTCAAAGGATGAAATATATAGCTGATACATCATGAAAATCAAAATTAAACAATATAATATTTGAAAAATAGTTGAGCTGCAAATTTATTTCCCTATCTTTTGATTTGGTAAGGTTGATGAAAACACTGAAAAATGTGCAAAATATTGACCACAATATATAATATTAAATGTTAGATTCATGCTGCAATTTTTTTCAAACATTGAGTATAAAAATCAAAATTTTATTGGAACCTACAATATGTAAGCAGGATCAACCTAAAAACTTGATTCCACCAATAGTAGAAAAGTAGAAAAATATTACCATCTGTATGACCAGGAGTAGCACGAATTTCCAAATTCTGATCGCCAAAAAGCAATAAATCACCATCATCTACAAACATATCAGCCACTCCACCACTATGTTTAGACAGAACAGATTTCATCCGAGGAAAGATTCGTTTTAGCTCTCCAGAACCAGTAATATGATCGGCATGTACATGTGTATTTGCTGCATAAAGTGGCTTTAAATTCAACTCTTGTATAAGCTGCAATGAAAAATATTTTAAATTAATACATACTCACTGGAAAAAAAATTCAAGAAATTTCGATGCTTTTATAAATTTTATACTCCTACGAAGTGGAAGAAATTTATCCTAAGAATTTTCAAGAAGTCCAGGAAAAGATTTTATGAACTCTGGTAGAAAAAAAGTTGCATCTCTTGAGTTTCTAATAAATTAAATTCAAATGATAAACCATAGTAGCATAATGCCTTGACATTCCAAGTGATGTGGGCCCCACAAAATCTCGCGACATTTTTCATAAATATTGTTTTACAACACAATATCATTCTGTATTGTTTTTTAAATTCTATAAAGACGGAGAATGCATCCATCGGTTTCATAAGAAGCCTGTGCAAAAATATTTCAGAAAGTTCAATGACGATACAAACCTTAGCGTCTCTTTCAACAGTTTCTAGGACAGGATCGATGATAACAGTTTTTCGAGTTGATGCGCATGCTAGAATATACGTGTATGTGCACGAAATCGGCTCAAATAACTGAAAGCTGAACAATTAACTAATTATTCCACGAGTCATTCAAATAATACTAATCAATCTACAAGGGCTTATCACGACCAAAAAATATCTGCGCAACAAGCAGCACATCAACAAATAATTTGACAAATTTAACAAACAACGTCTATGTAATCATTTTAACAACCATTATACGCAAAATTCAACCATGTGAAAAATATCATTCTTTTTACACGATCACGATAATGAAGGAAAAAAGAAAATCGATAGCAATTTTTATGGCATTTTAACAAATAAAAGTAAAATATTAAGGTTTTTATTCGTTAAGATCGCTTTTTTCATGATTTAGATGGTCTAAATGAGAATGATAAAGGAATAATGGTAGTTAGTGGTTATAATTTCTGATTAGACTCACTCCATTGGCAGCAACTAGTGATATTTAACTTATTAATTCGATTATTGATTTAAAATCCACTACCTATAAAATGAGATAGGCCTAGAAAAAGTGAAATATAACTGACTGCACCAATGATCGAGCTCATTAACTGAATCCAATAATTTTGTTAAGAAATGGCTTTTCTGAAAATGGCCTTTTCAATAATGACGGGAAAACAAGGGAAGAGATTCGAAAATGTAATGCAATCTCAAAAAAAGTTGAATGAAAATCGATTAAACGAAAGAAAAATGAATCTATATGATTAAAAAAATCACCTGTCGAAAGATGATCTTGCTGGCCATGATGTTCACTTGAGAAACACAATGAAAGATTAGTCCGATCGACCGACTGAGTAATTTTTGATAATCAATGATTTGATAAAATTAATGACCTGTAATTTGATATTTAATGAATTATATAAGAAAAGAAAAGGTGGTGTATTTGTGAAACAATTTATTTGTGAAACAATTTATCAATTCCGCTTTACGTAAATGGCGTTGCTTTCCTTTGTTTGTTTGCATACACCGATCGAAAGATAATCAATGATAGAGTAAATGAAAAAAAAATGCGATTGGAGGAAATTCAATTCGTACAGAAAATTATTTTATCACATTCAAATAGAAATATAAAATTTAGCACAGCCGAAGATCCATTAACATAAATAAAGCTCAAGCGAATTTTTGAACCATTCTTAATGAATCACAAATGAACCAGTTTCTGCTCCCGAACCTAGCACCCTGACGTTAAAAATCCAGAAAGTGCTGGTGACCAATCTCCATTTCTAACCAAGAGACTCCCTAGCAAAAATTTCTAACCGTATGATCACCCAGCGAGACCAATCTAGCCAGAAATGGTGAGCATAAGCACTTTTTTACATTTAAAAATCGCTATAAAACCTAATATGTAACGAGCAATAATTTGAAAATAAGAAACGCAACGGCGTGTATTAAGAATCGTTTTGCTATATTTTTTATTTCTTTCTTTCCTTCGACGATCAATTGTATTCGTTTTACAGATTGTGGATTTTGCAACGATGTTAATGATCACATATTTATTTAATATAGTTATAATTATACTCATATTTAATAATTTATAATCTATTTGGCAACTAGTCGTGTCCTCGGGCGTCATAGAGGCTGCAGCTTATTGTATCCTAGAGCGACCAGTCATTGTACGTGAACGGATCACATTATACCTAACTCTTTTGAATTAAATTCTATTTTATTGCCTCTTTCATAGATAATTTGATAATTTACCATCGGTTTCAACTCTGACGTTTTATTATCTACTGATGCAGATTTTTTTGCAGATTCAAGATTCCTTCAGATACTATTGTTAATTCCCTTTTTATGTTCATTTTTATTAACAAATATAAGCCTTTTAAAGGTTTATTTTCTCCGCTACACTGATCTTGAAATTCTTATAAGTATCGTTAAACCAGTAAGGTGACTTTGGTTACAATGCACTCATTGTAAGAAGATAATTTTATCATTGATCAGTAGAAGATTACGATTCACTGAAATATCAAAATAATTTACGTGATTCGAGAAAATTTCATAAGAATTCCACTGAATCGAAAAAAACTAATTTTTTACAAAAAACTTCACCAAAGCTTTATCCAACAGCAATTTGTATGATACTTTTTATCGTATCGTTATTATTTATCACATTTTATTAATTAATGAAATTTTATTTTTTAAATCTTATTCTTTTGCTGAATGAATTTGATCGCAAAATGTTAAAGAAAAAGAAAATTCCTTTTTGCTTGCTTCTATTCTTCGAAACTAAATACTGCTTGAAATATTTATATTTTAAAGAATTGAAATTATACCAAATATTTTTAAAAAAAAGAATAGAAAATAGAGAAACTGATGAGAAATAAATATTGTAAAAATTATTAAACCTTCAGTGAACAAAAACGATAAAACGAATCGGAAAATTTGAATCGAAAAGCTCAAAATATAAATATTTTTTAAAATTATCAGCAAGTTTAAGCGATTATTTTTATTGTTTTATAAAAAATTTAATACTTTTTAGTATCAAGGAAAATTTGGATCTTATATTAAAGCACTTCCTTACATGCACATAATTTTGATGATTATATCATCATACCATACAATTTTATTCGACTAGAATTACCTACTCTTAAATCAGAATTATTGCAAAACTGGATTGATTTGCGATAAATGCATCCTCATTTCATTTCATTTCATTTCATCGGATCAATTATTGGATTTTCATAGGTGCATTAATATTTTAATCAAAAAAATCCATGATATATAATCCATGATATCTATGATATATAATCAAAGAAGTTTTTTTTCCATTAAATTTATAATAATTTGCAACTCATTGCAGTGAACTACTTTGAATCACATTCGGTACTTTGGTTATTTCTTTTATGCTATATCAATTACCATTAACCCTAAACCAAGTTTCACGAATTTCAGATTTATGATTTATGAATATATAAAGTTGTAACGTTTTCGTAACTTTTCTATTCAAATAAAGTTGATTATATTTATAATTATAATTATCATTATAGCAAAAAATAACAATTATAATTATTATTATAGTAAAAAATATTCGAGTAATGAGTAATTGGTAGTTCGTTTTTCCATTCGGATAATTAAATACTAAAGACGATTGCATAAGTATTTGAACTGCTTCGCTACCCTTATTCATTAGTGAATGCGGCTCAAAATAATTTTGTGATCGCAGAAAAACACTACGTATTTGTCTATTAACAATGAGATTATTCCTTAACACTGCTTTCCGAAAATCTGATGTATTTTTCGCATGCACAATTAAATATGTTCAACGATTGAAGGACAATCAACTTTTTATTCGCAACAAAACAGCGAAAAATTAGCTAGTTACTATCGAAAGAAACTATACTAGCAAACCGTTAGTATTAATTATAGGTACCGAACTAGGCATATTTCTTGGCTCAATTTCATAAGACAAGAGCCTCATTTTTGTCGAATGTTGGTGATTATTTGCTAACCGCCTCTAAAAATTTAAAAAAATTATTTTCTTTTTCAAGTAAAAGCTTTGAAGTTTATTTTTAAAGAAATTTAGAATCTTTTCAGCTCTCAATTAGCTACCAAAAAAGCAATTTAGTTGAAATTTTTGTATGAAAAAGTAATGCAAAGTAATATTTATAATATTTTAGTAATAATATTTTTGAAAAATACCTAAGAATTGTTGGGAAGATTAGAAACAATTTTAAAAAAAAGTTGTTATACTTGATAATCGGCATCAGAACTGAGATTATAATTAAGATTTGCTTTCACAGACGATTCTGGTCCGGAATATACATTCAACGGTGATTTTGACCCTTGGAACGTGGGTTTTTTTTTATAATTATCATCTAGTGGATTTGTTGATTGTTGCATTGAAACACATGGAGAAATATTTCTGATGGATGATCGGTAGTTGAAGATATTGTTCTCAAAATTCACACTGTTGCAATTAATTCAATGGTTGAAGGAGATACTTTAATTCCAGAAAAATGTAAGTATGCAGATAAGCTGTACCGAATTAAAAAGATAAGAACGCATTTTTTTCTAGTAAAAGGAAAAAATTTTCAAAAAAAGTATTGCAATTTATGAATTATACTTACCTGTCTGTAAATAGATTTACCATTTTTATAATCTGATATAAGGAAACCATCATCCAGATCTTCTTCAACATGTTCTCTAACACGTATAAGAGTGTTGCTTTTAGGGTCAAATGAAATCAGAGAAGTCATATTGCTTCCTGACGAACGATTTAAAGCAAGACGATCATCGAAATTTTTGGCTGAATTATGCTGAAGCGGCAGTTTAACAATAATGCAAGAAATCATTACAGTAAACCTTGTAATTAGAATATTGTCTTCTTACATCATAATAGAATTATACATAAATTACTGAAACTAAATTTGATAAACATTGATGAACATTATAAACATTGATTTTTCTGAGTTCAGTAGTCGAGTGGTGTGCTGCTTCACCTCTCTGCAGAAATACCTTATTAAAAATCCCTCTAATCTTTTAGTTAAATTTAAAAAGTTTAGTTTTTTTATTGGAAGTCTTTTTCACTGTGATTTTATTCATGTGAACCATAAAAAAAATAATTCAAATCATCATCACCTTACCTCCAAACTATTTGTTGAATGATTTTGTAAAGAAGTTTCGAAACCGGTCAAACTACAAAAAATTTTTTCTCGCTGATTGTTTTCAACGCTCATTCTCATTCTTACTTTACTCATTCTTCCAACTAAAAATTAAATTTCGTAAAGAAAGTGTCGCTTTATACAGTGGCTGCGTTCATAAAAATTAGGAGCCTTAGCTGGCAAAAATCCACGGGATCAACCTTGTCACAAAAATATAGTAACTTAGCTTAATTTTTTTTAGCACTTTAATAGCACTTGAAATAATGCTGAGAAAAGAATGTTTAAAAAATAAATAAATGAAGAAGAATTTGAAAAAAATAATATTAAAATTAAAGTGAAGTAAATTTAAAGTAATCAACTTCTACAACTTCTTAAATGCGTAGCAGTTTAACCATTAAGTTTATTAAAATAGAGAGTTGTGAATCAATGAAATTCATTCCAGCAATAAAATGTGTAAAGAAAAGAATTTATGGTTTCTGGTTGATAGCCGTTATAAATATTATAAATATATGAATAAAGACAAATATCATTTTTTCTAACCTTCTGGTGTTGCATGCAAATCATCTGAGATCGCAGTCTCCAAGTGTCCAACGATGCTACGATTTTTATTTGCAAAATTCCTCTGCTACAAGTCAAATATCATGAAAATTACGGGAGCACATATACCAAATTCAAACAAAACGATTTTATTTGCAAGACAAGATCAGAAAAACTTACGCAGTAAATTCTACTTTCTTGTTTTACATTTTTCTGAGCCTTAATTTTTGATCGCTTATTTAATTGTCGCGCACAACCATTTAAACCCTCAAGGCCACATGGTGTTGACGTTTCACAAGTTGAGTTTATATATCCTCTGAAAAATATAATCCTCATTCCACTTCGAATTCAAATAGTCGAACTACAACATTTTACAGAACGATGGAAAAATGGCAAATTGAATATCCGATAAAAAAACTTTGCACAACAATTAGCAAATGTGGAAACGACTTACTTAGTATTTGCGCCTTTCGAATTTGAATTTAGTACATCAGAGAATTCGATAGTTATTTTCGGATACTTTCTTGTAATTTTTTCGCGCCTAAAAGCACGAATTTAATTAACTTAAAAAAATCTCAACTGCTTTTGGATCACTGCCACCAACGATATTGCCGTTCACCTCTTGTAAGAGACCGAAAAATGCTCGTGAATATATCGCCACTGCCAGCAACTAGTTGATACAAGCAATGAATGTCATTAGTGAAAAAAGTTCACCATGCATAAAATTCAAAATCAAGGTCTTTACTTCAAATTCAATTTCAAAAACCTCAAAAAAATTTATATGGACAAGACATTTTGTGAAAATTATACGGTTTCACAGAAAATTTATTATTAACGCACTTTCGTTTTGAAGCCAATTTGCAGAATGATTTGATCGATAATAATATGGATAAAGTGGCAAGGATAATATGAATGATGCATTGTAATGACTCAATTTGTTTATATTGCACTAAACAATTGGTTTGGACCCATTCTAAGATGCTCAAATTGAAATATGACGAGCACATCGGTGTGTATCGAATAAAAAAGCTAAAATAATAAGTGATAAATAATTGAATAATGTAAATAATGAAATTTGCGAGGAAATCCCAGATTCCTCATAGTTAATTTTCTGTATCGCTCACCATTTCCGATCCGCTGTAATAGTTTCTCGGTTAAAGTAAATTTGTAAGTAAGTTTGCGAGCAAAAAAAGAAGTGGATGGAACATCCTGATGCGATAAATTTGCAAGACAAATTGTGAACTTTTTATATCACATGGAGGATCCTTACATTATCATTATCACCAATCACTCGTATAATTGGCATAAAATCTAAAAATAATAATTACCTATGCGAATAGGGCAAACCAGCACTAATAAATGATCGCATATTATCACCGAAAAATCCTTTGTACCATAGTAATAACAGAGCATTATAAATAATGGATAGTAAGCTACAAAAAGTAAATGCAATAAGAAGAAGCAAACGCTGTTGACAGGCAGCAAAAATACCCGAAATAACTGAAACAATCTGAAATATTCGACACTTTGGGTGAAACTTTCTAAAGCGCGTCGACCCTAACCTCTCATTTAATTTAATTTAATCTGAAAAAAATACATATAAATAAAATATATTGATTCAATTTTGACTTTCTTTGGGTTCAAAGAATCTTTTAAGAAATCTTTTCACTGATTTTATGATCTTTTCTTATGTGCTAACTTATTTTTATTAAGCCATATTAAATTAATTTTTTTAAATTATTGTGAATTGCGGCTTTAGCTCGAATTTTAATAGCACCAGAGCTAATGGAGTGAAATAAAGCGATTCATATCCAATGCATACTTGTCAAATCCCACAATTTCTTCATTTGGAGCACTGCGGTGAGTCGTGACGCGTATCGTTCCTGCTCTAGCGATATCGAATTTAAAAAGGAAATTCAGAAGTGGTCTGAGATATCACCGCATCTTCATTCCATTATGATTTAAACTTAATAAATTTTTAAATCTCATTTCTTATCTCATTTGATAATGCTAGCACCACATGGTTCTGCTTGATTTATTCATAATTCCTTTAAATCGAATTTCTCCACAACTGGGACGATATTCCCATCACAACCCATAAACATAACACTCATCAAATCAAATTATTATTATTAAAGAAATGAAAGATTTACTTAAATTTTACTTTAACTTCTTTATTTTTTTTGTTTAAAAATTATAATTCATTGGTAAATAGCGGAAGGTAAAATATAAAATATTTATAAAATAAAATATAATATAAAATAAAATATAAAATATTTCCCTATTTGTTTAAACCAAATAATAATACTATACCATATAATCGAATAAATCAATCAGTCATTTTTATCGAGCAATTACCAGTTCCATTAATTTTACAGCTTTTGTTTTCAATATAAGGTTGATTAGTTCGTAGACTAGAATGATTATTTCAGTTTATAGATATTCACTTATCGATTTGTATAACGACAAAAGTAAGAACTGATTATTGCAAAAGATTTACGACCTAGATAAATTTATTTGAAATAAAAAGTGGGCTACCTTTAATACTATCCAGAAATTTTAAAATTAAGCAGTAAATTCTCTAAAATGAAACTTTTTACTGGGAAATGAAATTTATTAGGTTCTTATCTTGTGAAATAGTCCTATTATCTACACTTTTCTGCAAAGTTGAAAAACACAGTTTATTTATCAACAATGAATTTCTATGATTAACTAGATTTTATTTTCATTACACAACTTGACGCAAAAAAATTCTCCTAATCTCCATTATTAAAAAAACTACCGCAAAAACATTTAGGAAGATTATTAGAATTGTCTTACCCTAAAGATCTCATCGCTGTAGCCCTATTAAAATGATTATGAACAAAATTGAAAATCAACAAAAAAAAAACGAATGTAAAGCATTTGTTTTTATTATAACTAGATTATTAATTTGTTTTTAGCTAAACTGAACTAAACTGAACTGAAAAAATTGGCATTAAAAATGGATCGAAACGAAATAAACCGGGAAAAGGCTGAATGAAAACTGTCTTTGGCCTGGTTATCCATTGGACTTTTTCAACTTTTATTATTCCTAACCACTCCTTAATGAATTTTTAATTAATACCATCGTTGTTCATAGCCAGCTGAGATGATCAAACAGTAGGGCATAATTCATTGTAATTAAATTAATATTTAGCAAACTGATGAACGACAAAAGAAAACTTATAACAGAAATCGGAAAATATTTTTTCATTGATATTAATTGGTTCCTCAATTTGCCCATCGCTTTATTGTAAAAAACTGTAAAATTACATATTGTGAAAAAATTATGAAATTACCTGAAGTAAATTAAAAATAACAAGTACCCACAATTTGCCGATTAAATCAAACACTTGTCGAGCGGCACTCAGTATAAGCCATACTGACAAGGAAATTAATAAGCTCGAACTCGATTCACACATTTTTCCACAGACGCATACTGAAAACCATAAATAATAGCAAGAACATATTTGAAAATTGAGGTGAAAAACGCAAAAATGAGAGAAAATGCCACTTAAAAAATATGAGCTGAGGTAGAAGGGGATAAGGAAAATTCCATAGCATAATTGCCTTAACAATGGAAATTGTACAAAAAAGATGCCTGATAGCATTTTATCTGGCTGTAGACAAGTAAAAAAAAATCAGATCGAGGACGAATCACTTTAAAAAATCTGGCACTAGATAATTTACGAAAAATAGCCAAATGTGATGGCACTTTTCAACAAATAATTCTGACAAAGTGGCAAATTGTTATGAAACCAAGTTCTAAAATAGCAAAAACTAAAAAACATCTCAAAATGCTTTAATCATTTACATCGATTTTCACAATAAAATTCAAATATGGTTTGAAAAGTTTTTTGTTTTCAAATTTTTTGAACGATGAGACTTTATCATAAATAACAGGATGGATACTATACTATACATAGCTTCATCCAAAGGAATGAAAGGCATAGTGGAGATTGGCATTCGAATAAAGACGAAGAATTTTGTAAATGTTTTAATAATATCACATTGCAAATGTTTTAATAACCTATAATAACGAAATCATATTTGTGGAGAAATAAGGATTTAAAGCATCGACTTATCCATGAAACCAAGCAAAGTATCCAAAGTACGCCAACAATTTCAAATCTTTTACTAGTAAACCTTTAATAAAATCTTTTAATTAAACGTTTTAATACTAACAAAAATAATAATAAATAATAACTAATAAAATAATAATGGGGATAGAATGGCTCAGTGGGTTGTTGCTCAATGGGAACGCCGATGCTGAAATTCGATTCCCTGCAGGAGTAAACCTATACAAAAATCCAGGTGATGCTGGTGATTTATGAGGAAACTCTTCAAAAAAAAATAAAAGTGATAATAGTTATGCAGAAAAGGACGTGGGCCTATCCCAACTGCAAAAAAACGCCTTCGAGACAAAAATGGCACTTATCAACATCATTCAAATGCATCACTCCCACTGCATTAAAATCTCATGCCTATTTTTTTTTATCATCGCTGATATTCGCTGCTTTATAAAAGATTTTTTATTAATGTTAAAGATATTTTAATATTAAAATATGAAGGAATTGAAGATCCATCACTGCATCTTCATAATACACAAATCTTCATAATAACTCCAAAATGATGGATGAAATATTGAGCGAATTTCAAAAATCCTACTAATTTCATATTATTAATTTTATTCGAATATTCATAAATTATAAATCTGGAATTCCGAAGTTAGAGCGAATGGTACCACAAATCTTCACAACAATGCATTTCTCAATTTCAGTTTCATGACTTGACATTGTGGAAATTTTCTAATGATGGCTTTCGCAGTTTGATAATTTCGATTAGTAAATGGGCCGCCCTATAAATCCATAATTAATTGAATAATTATCGTTTAATCGCTTTTCTCTTCAAATTTCTTTCCAGCTCATTTCTAATTAAGATTTGAAGTTAAAAATTAAAATTCGACCAAATCGTATAATTTCAATTTGTATATAACTAAGGTACAATTTATGGTTTTAACTAGGTAAATTTTTCACTCTAAAAAACTTTATTCTGATACAATTTCAAACATTTTTAAAGATGATTTTTTTGCATTCATCAATTTATTAGTTGATAATTAAAGGTTCCTTAAAAGAAATACGATAATTTACTAAATTTCTAAATATCTAATTTCGTTGGCCAAGAATTGAAATTAATATTGCTCATGAGATATTAATATTGCTCATGGCCACAGATAGTAATGGATGGATTTCAGTAGCAAACCATTTGTTTCATTTTAAATAAATGTATATAAATAAATATCGAGGAGATAATAAAAGTCGAGGAGAATTTGAAAATCGAAGAAAAAATATTGACGAATATTCAAAAAAGCTGTAAAAATTACATCTCAATGGCTTTTCGAAAAGTTTTTCAAATGAAATCCTCTCCTGTTGTTATTTTCAAAAATCTCATTTGTTTTTTTCTTTCTTGTTTCTTTTTTTTCGGTGGTTTGACAATCGTGGAAAAATACAACATTTTGTAAAGAAGTAATGAGTTCAGAAAAAAAGAAAGAAAATCTTATCATTTTGATCGCCGAAGGATCGAAATCCGACGACTGTCATCAACTGTAAGAATCACACAGTGAGAATTATGGTTTAACCGATTTTCAACCGATTGTCACAGATAAATTTTTTTAGCCATGAAAATCAGATATAATTACAGTTTACAGTTTTACTATTTTTTTACTGATGTTTAGTGTAGAAATTTATAACAAATTTAGGGAAAGGCTTATAAGTTAATGCTTTAAAATGTTTATAAATAAATGGAGAACGAAAAAATAGAGATGAGAGTGGAAGAGCTTGCAGTTTTTGAGTTTAAAAGAAGTAAAGATGAAAAGTAACAAGAAAGCACTTTTTCTGATGTCGATGAAGAGGATAACTGCTGAAAACTAAAAAAAGTTCGAATGATTCCATCCATTTTATTAAGAGAGAGAGAGCATCGTTTGTTTGCTTGGTACACGAAACAAATCGGAACAAAAAGGACTGAAGTGAAGAGCGCTTTGGCTAATATGAATCCAAACAAGTCGGATAAGAAGATGATAATTCACTACCAATTTCATTCCTTAATCTCAGTTTTAAAAAAAGGCAAATATCCAATACAAGCCAATCACATGAAAATGTTTAAGAGGTGTAAAAAAAAGCATTTGTGATACTCAAATTTTGAAAGCATCTTTAAATATAAATATTGCAACGAATAATAATAATATAAAAATGAACTTTAAAAAAAAATGTAAGGAAAAGAAAAATAAACGGGATAATGATTACAAGTAAACTGAACTGAAGAAGCAGTGGAATTTGAATGACTCAATGTGTCATTAAATATATTTTGTCTCTATTAATTGATCTGAATTCACACCGTTATACACCATTAAATATTAAATGCACCATTAAAGCTTTACATCTTCCCTACAATTTCTACAAATAATAATAAAGAGATGCAAAAAGAATTGGCTTCTGCTAATTTCTGCTAAATTTAATTAATTTACAGATATGGTATTAGATCAGAAGATTGTGCCAATAGAGCCATAATTTCTGTGGTAAAGCGTTGGAAGAAATTAAGAGAAAATATTTTGCAAATAAAACCGTATTAGCCTTTTGCAGAAATCTGTAAATAGGATAATTTAAAATGATTTAAAATAATTTAAAATGAAAAACTATAATTAATATATAACTTAATCCAATTAATACACAAAAATAGAAATGATAAGAAATGTGATAACGAAAATGCGAGAATGCTATTAGATTCTCGTATCGAATTCTTTGTAGTTTCTTCTATAATGTTATCAATCGAATTATGCGATAAGAGACTAAAATAATAAATAGTATTTTAAATATGGGCCTTTCCCCTAAGGTCACTGCTATTAACTAAATTCACACCATTACACACCATTAAATATTAAATGCACCTAACAACTTTTATAAAAAATTTTTGAAACTACAAAGAACGAAGAAGACTTTCTAGAAAGATTCCTCCTAACAAGTTTTTCTAGATTTTCTGAGTTTCCTCCATGATTCTGAAAAATTCTGGAGAAAATTCATGCTGATGTGAAACGAGGATGGATAAAGAGAAATATATTAAAGAAATATATAAATATATAATATATAAATATATAGATAAAGAGAAAAATTTAGAAGCGAAGAAAGTGAAAGAAATAAGAATAAATCTGATTTCTTGTTTGTTTAATGTTCTGTATTAAAATATAGCCAAAATGCGATTAAAGTAATCAGCACTCATTATTTCTGGTAAGGTTACCTCCGCTATTAATACGATTAGAAATTCGCCAAGGAGTCACTTGGCAATAGAAACACAGGTGGGTCACTAGCGCCACTTGTACTTTTTATTGTATTTTAATCGATTTATTGTTATGGTCAGAGGACCAAACCTACCGAACTACGACGCTCGACGCAGCAATCCGCCTAAATACAAGAAAAATAATCGCAAAGAAAAAATGTTTTACAAAAATAATTCCACAGTGGTTCAGCGAAACCAATATAATTAATAAAAAAATAAAAATCATCAAAGAAATATTTCAAAAAGACAGCAAAGGAAAAAAATTAACAATTAAGGAAACATCTCTGCCAACCTAAAAAGAAATTAGCCTTTCCTAAAATCACTATGAATGTAAGAAAAAATTTGAATGAAAATTTGAATGGTTCTTAATTCCGATTTTTCTCAATTCAGTGAATCTTTCTTTTCATGTTCATAGAAAATCTATCAAAAGATTCCTTCAATTTCTTCACAAACTTTTCAGTAAGATAAACGATTATTTCGCCAGAAAAATTTTTTGAATAAAAATAGAATTTGAAAATGGGCGAATTTGGGATTAATGCAAAATTAGGGCAACAAAAACTCTTAACGATTCGAATTAAGAGAATGCAACGATGAAGCCGAAAATAAGTTTATAATTTACATATTATGAATGTTTATTTGACAGAATTTTGTCTAATCTTCTATTCAGTAACTCTTTAGTATGGAATTATAAATTCATAAGAGTGGATATGAAATGAGAATAAATTCATCGAAAAATAAAAAACAAAAATCGGCGTATATCGCAAAAAATGCAAAGAAGAATCCTATAAGTATAAATATGAAAAATATATTTATTTTCATCACCAGTATAAGAAGATTTCTTCATGAATATAATCCATGCACATTCTGGCATAACGACAATTGACTAGAAAATCCTCCAACTTTTGGAAATAATGTTCTAATATCACTCGCAATTTCTTTTTGCTAATTCCACTGATTCTTATCAAGGAGTCACTAACCAGAGAGAAATAAATAAAGACAACTGCTTTTAATGAGAATCCCTTAAAGGAATCGAACACATTTGATCTCAGTAAAAGCGCTCCCGCAAAATGAATATGTGGCTCCAAAAATAATAAATAAAAGGTAAAAACTGGTTAAATAATGAAATAAACGACCAAATTATCCAAGGAATCATGATAATTAGGGATTGCGTCTGAGAAATATTACTCATCCTAAAAATTAAATCTGAAATGCATATGGGAAGGTTTCGTAGCGATGTGCATTATTATGAGAAGAATTTGACCAACTTCTTTTTATTCTTCTAAATTTTCTCTAATAATAATTTTGAACAAAATAAATAATCAAAGAACTCATAAAAATGTGGGAAATGAAAGACTTCCCTGCTCAGAAATTCAAATTCAAAAGAATACTGAAGTAGAAACGGGATAACTGGACAGATTCAAAGTGACATATACGATGATGACGATGGTGATGACGATTGACCTCGATGATCGCCATATAACCGGCTTGACGTTGTCCCTCGCAATTCGAACTATTAACTAACCATTTCCATCTCTTTCTATCGTTCCTCATTGGCACATATGGTTGTCGTATTTCATCGCCAATTCGATTTCTTCTCTACTATTATTTTTCGCTAAATACCACAATAATGACATTATTTATACTGTCGTTAGGGACCACCGATTTTTTTTGTACGAATTCCTTTGATTAACTTTGGAAAAGTGAAGTCAAAAATTAAAAAATCCAAAAAATTTATCGTAAAGTGGAATAAAAAAGTAAAGTGATAACTTATTGAATGCAGTAACCCAAAAATAAATAAGGAAGCCTGAATTTTTTCAACCGTAATGCCCCACATCGTCAGGATGGTCTCAGATTTAAGCCAAGCACTATTCGATCGATTTCTGCTCTTGATGGATAAAATCACGATCACTATCAAGAATGAAATTTGTGATAATTTTATGGATTCACGTCTCCAAATGACTTATCGACAAAGGTCCCTTGAGTGCTATTGGAAGAAAATGGTCATTTAATCTCAGCCAATGCAGATGAAACTTTTTGATAACCATTCATTCACAATCATTTTTCATGAACTATTCTACAAGTGAAAAACTATTCTTTGCTGAGTTTTAAAAAAACTGGAAGCATCGAACGAAAAAGCAATTTGATGTGCTTTGATGGCGAATAAGTCAGTCAACTGGATGGAAAAAGAAGAACGAATAATGGTTCTGAAATGACGTCATTAATGGATCACTGGAAAAAAAGAGGTTAGTGATAATAACGAGATCGGGGAGATTTTTCGCAAAATATTATGAACTTTAAAGAATATTAAAGGGCTTATATTATAGAATATTATTAAAGGTACTGTGGCTGAAATTTCACAGGCAGTACCAAGGAATTTTAAAAAATAATAATAAAAAACATCATTAGTGCGTTAATAAAATAAAGGTATAACTCATTGTGAAGAATTTAAAATTTGGAAATTGCAAAATATTTTGGGAAAAGAATGCAGCAAGTTTCATGAAGGAACAAAACGAGGAAAAAAGTATTGTAAAGCCTGCATACATTTTAAAAATTGCAAACACAAGCGATAAGAATATAATGGAGTTGAAGAATAAGGTATTGGAAATTAAATTAACGAGTCTTTAGATAGACCAGTGGCTCACAACGAAAAGGAACCACCAATCATGATACTTTTTAAAATTTGTAAGACTGCGGCCATACTTGCCATACTTATGCCAAAATCGCAATTTATTTGATAATCCGAATTCATATAAATTTTCCTTACCTCATAAACGAGTAAAATATGGTTGATGAAACGAACGAAATCATGAGAATTACGAAAACTTCACAAATTAAAATTTTGTTAGCGGGAGGAATCTCATCATTTGGCGTTATTAACAAGAGAAATTATGTATTTCACTCAAAATTAAGAAAAATTCATTTCTCATTCATCCCGTTCGTCTTTAGTAAATAAATGTTCCGCATGATAATTTAATTGAAAATCTTTTTTTCTTTTAGCTTAGATTTTATAAAATGAAATTGGCCCAAAATCTAGACAGCATACAACAATAACTGATTTTCTGAGATAAAGGTGGTTAAAAAGTTAAAATAAAATAAGCGACAAAATTCTTAGAAATAAATAATTTGCTGGAAAATAATATTAGTTTTGTGTTTAATCCAACCGTCCTTTTAGTTTATTAATTTTTAAATTTATTTGCATTTAAATTTATTTTTTTGACTTTGAACTTTGCCAAATCGATAAATACCGATTAAAAATAATTTATTAATAATTCATATAAACCATAACTTTTATTGACAAGATTGTAATTAATGTTATGATATTATGATCTTTTATTTTATGATCTCATATTATGATCTTTATGATTACAAGTTTATTTCGATAGGTGATAAAATATGAGAGAAATATCTCAGCGAATAAAAAAATTGTGATAGGATTATTGGAATAAAGTGGACATTATTTCATTCATTCTTACTGAGTGGTGAACTGGCATGATGATTTACTTTGAATTCATCTCGGATAAACCATAATATGAGAATAATGAGTTGAATCGATGAAACATTCGATGAAAAGATGAAAATCTTTCCAAAATAGATCGACTGCAACTCGCCCCAACCCACATTAAGCGAATTCCAAGTTTGTAATTGTGCCTTCTGACTACACAGTGTTGTCTAATATAATTAAATAACTTTTATTACTTCAATTATTTTTAGCAAAAATTAAAATCTACTTTTTTAAATTTCCCAGTAAAACATTTGCGGGATCTTTACTAACTACCATATACTTTCAAATGATTACTTTCAAATGATTTATTTTAACAGCAGCAGTTATTTTATAGTCAAGTAATCTCAAAAAAATCTTCCAGAATAAAAGATTTTCAATAAAGTTAACACATATATATAAAACAAAACAAACTAACTAAAGTAACTAAGCAACAGTTAAATTCCATTAGGAAACCATCTGTCGGCTAACTAGAAAATAATCAGCAGAAGATGTACATAAAAATTTGCCTAGAAAAACCAATTGTAATGGAATAGATAAAAATAATTCAACACATTATATTAAAAAAATAAAGTAAATTTAAAATAGTGAAGACTTCACTTTTTTTCGCGACTTGACTTCCCTTTCTTACGCCCACAAAAAAGTCTTCTCCCATACCTTCTAACGAATAGGCTTTTCAAACATCTTTCGTAATTAAAGTTTCTTTCTTCCTTCGATAAGCTGAATCGATATCTCCCTTGAGAATTTGCGCCAGACTTTCAACCTTCAATTTATGTGGATTCAAAATTAGCAGTCTTAAAAAGTCGATGAAATTATTTTTTATTCATTTTACAGCAAAGAAAAAAAAGTTAACTAATCGATAAGGAATGGAATAAATTTCACTTATAAGATACCAATTTTATCAAAAACTTCAAATTTGACTTAGAAGATAATGCGGACAAAAGAACATACCTAAAAAAAATATACCTGAAGCAAATCGTGCCTATTCTTATCGAACTCTGGCTGCCGCAGAAAACTTCGAGCAATCTCATCTTTATCGCTCAGATACTCGAGATGTCGTCGACGTTGATGATTAACATAACTCAAAGAAACATAAACGTGAAAATCTTCACTCTCAAATCTCAAATAAGCTAATATATAGCTAAGCTAATATACACTTAATATTTCGATTCAGCACCTCGGAAAAAAAAATGTTTTGTGATAAAATCCTTACAAAATAACCATATAATACAGTGTGATTGTAAATAATGAAACAACGACCACTCTAATTATAACACCGAACTGTTTCCGTACATATTTCCCTACTTCTTCCGGAAAAATTTTTTCTGATCCATGCATGCCTTGACGTTGGCCAAATTCAAACCTCAATTTTGAAAACCACAAACTTTTGGAAAACGATTATTATGCTACTAAAATTGAAAATTAGCGCAATGAGTTTAATTCCTTGGCAAGAATAAACACCTTGTAAAAATTAAATTAAGAATGTTTACATTGAAAACTCACTTACATTTCACCTATATTTTTTTTAAGAGAGCTTTCACCATTACTGATTGAACCCGCTCCGCTGGCTTATCGCACCAGACAAATATGCCAGAGAGTGAATGTCTTAGCGATAGAAGTGCAGGTGAGCCACCAGCATCATTCGGACTTTTGGACAGGATTATTCCTGTGCGGAATAGAATCAGTGCTTCGAATTGAGTAAGAACCAACTGCGCCATTCTATGTCCCAAATTTCTAATTATAAGTCTGGTGGTCTCAAGAAAACAGTTTCGTGTAAAGCCAGATATTCATGGATAAACTGGACTAGCGCAGGTTTTTTAAAAACAAAAAATCAGGAAATTTTCGAAGAGAAAATATATTAAGAAAATTAATTCCAAGTTCCAATAAAAATATAAAACTTATTTTAAAAGAAATATTCAGATTTAATTCAAGATATACAAGTGAAAAAGTAAATTTTTTTTGTACCCTCACATTATATAGGATATAAAAAGAAAGACCAATTATCATAATTAGATGTTCTGCCATATCTCATTTTGTGCGACGCAAATCGATTCGAACGGAACCTTGAAGCTTGCTGGCTATTTACATGGCGATCCTCACGTCTACAGTCATAAGCTTTTCGATCCGCTGGTTTTTTGAGCACATCATATGCATTTTTTAGCTCAATAAATGCACTATTCTGCTGTTTCCTTTCAATTTCGTTCAAACTACCCAAAGCATCAGGGTGAAGCTATATAAAATAAAATATATAAAATGTAAAATATTTAAATTATATAACTGTCGCAAAAGTAAAAACTAAGTGAAAAACAATAAAGAATGTTAGAAGACATCGATTTTGAATAATTCAATGAATTATTTTAAATTTCAATCAAAAAAGAACAAAAATAATATTCCTTCCCATTCAATCGCTTCGAAAAAAAATCAATTCGACAAATGGAATATAAAAATCCACCGCCATCTGTAAGTGCATATAAATCTATCTTAAAAAAAAATTATCTAAATTCACCTGTTTTGTTTTTTCGATATAAGCTTTTCTTATTTCATCTAAAGTTGCTTTTTTATCGACTCCAAGAATTGCATACAAGTCACGTCTGCAAATATTCAACTCTCATTTCTTCGAATATGATAGAAGAGAAAAAATGCGAAAATTCATTTTACTAGTATTTATTTTTTAAATTTATTAATTAATTAATTTTAATTAGTTAATTTAAAAAATTAATATTAATTAATATATTAATTTTTAATATAAAATATTAAAAGTATTAAGTAATATTAATTAATAAATTTTCGATCCGCTGGTTTTTTGAGCACAAGTAATTAATATTACTTTTTCGTGCAATTGTCGAGATTTTACTCTCTTTCGTACTTGTATAATTTCTTTTCTCTTATTTTATTTTGAGGATGATATAAAAAATAAAAAATAAAAAAATAAATTTAAAAATCTTTAAAAAATTCATAATTATCATAACTATTCCAGCAGTTGCTAGGAACCAAAACTTTTATTCCAAGTTGAACTGTGGCGAATGAGTTAAATAAATCTCAAATGGTATCCGCATAATATCAGTAATTTGGTGATATATATTACAAATATGCCTAGTAATAATAATCCAAAAACCGCGGTGCAAAAAAATGATTTAATCATGATCGCGGGAAATTGGAATAAAGATATCCCACAATCTTCTGAGTCATCAGTTATGGACATTGGATTTGAATGCCAACGGAAAACCACTTCCCAGCTACGTTGAGCATGAGTCTTTCGCTAGTATATACTTATATATTTATATATACTTTCACCATTGCAAAACATATCTAATTGCATGGAACTCGATAAATAATCTAACTGACCTTGATCAATCATCTGCACTGGGTGGCTAAGCTGAAACCAAGGTTGAAAATGGCAATACAAGTTGATAAAACTATGGTTAAAGCCAAGATCCAAATGAAACCCAACCCATAAAACACATCTCTCGAAATTTTTAGCTATCTCGATTCAGGGGCAATCAATCTGAGTATAAGTAATGAAATACCTAAAGAATTTCAATACCTCTGGAACTTCTGGGAAATATCGGCCAATTGAAACTCTATCTTTAAAAGCCAGCTGGATCGCTTTTGGGATATACAACTCGGAAGAAACTGGATCTCCGATAAAATATTTTAACTATTTGATTCCCATGTAAGGAGATGGTAGTTATCGTTAGATCTCAGAGTAGAATTTGATCTCAGCGAGACGAGACGAGAAGTAAACGATCAGACGAAAATTTTCTTCTTCTTTGTAACCCACGTCAACGACTCTAGAATAATTAATGAACTGATCCAAAATAAGGATGGAAACTCCGTTATTATTGCTACACAAAATTCTTAGAATCTAAATTTAACTTAGGATCTGGCCTGACTGGAACACGTTTGGAGTTACACAATTGTAACTGCAAACCACCAATCGAAACAACAACTTCAAAAGCCTGCACATTGTACCTACTAGATTTCATGTATACATGGTACTTATTTTTATAACTATACATATAATTATATACCATGGAACAAGGTAATTCTGTTTTAAATTTCCAAAACAAGATATATTGTAACAACTATCGAGGGGTCAGCTTGCTACTTCTGGAACACTGGCTGGCCAAAATTTAATGCTGCGAAAAGTGCTGAAGCATCATTTTAATTGTCGATAACCCACCGCTAAACCTGACCTTTTCACCATAAAGCAGAGGATAGAGAAAAAGGTGAGTATTGAGTAACCGGATTTTTGATACCATGACAGGCTTACTCCTATCAAAGAAAAAAATAAAGACGATTAAATTTAAAAAAACATATATAAAATATATTTTAGCATGATTTAATTAATTTATTTCAATTAATTCCTTGAAAAAAAATTAAAATTTTAACACAACTTAATTTTAACACAAATTTTAACACAACTTAGTTGAATTGTTATCAGAAATGAACAATAATTCACGAAATAAATCCAGAATATTTTTTGAAACGACCGCTTGCCAACAAAAATTTTTTAAAAATTTTTAAGAAAAGTGACAGAACGACAGAACGTACAATTGTCGAGGAATCAGCTTATTAAACATCTTCGGAAAAATTTTCGTTTCCCTTCTGCTAAATGTTAACTCATGGCAACACGATACACCAGAATGCCAAGCTGGATTCAGACCAAAACGCGGCTGTGCTAACCAGATATTTACGCTAAGAAGGGTCCTGGAATATCACTTCAAATACCAGCAACTGTCACTTGCTTTATCGATTTTGCAGCTGCCTTCAATTTTTCTTCTTCTTCTTTTAACAGCTCTCACCATTATTGGTCAGGCTGCCTGCAACGACTACAGCGGTAAGATGCTTCCAAGCGACGCGATCTGATGCCTTTGTCGACAGTAATAGAAGGCATTCCTTTTTCCATCTTGTAAGTCCATATACTGCTGGTCCATCTATACGTTCAAAATCTTTTTTGATAGTATCAGTCCAGATCTTAATCGGAGCACTTCGCTTTTAACCATCCATCACATGGAATATGCATCAACTCCTGTGGTGGACAATGAAGAATAATGGATAAAATATCACATGCCCCTAACCAGTGAACTCCACAATATTAATGGAAGTGGTATTTGAATGAAAGTGGATGCGACATGTGATATTTTATCCACTCCCGGACAGATCCGCACAATGTACCTTAGACAAAAGTGATAAAAGATAGATAACTTCTTAATATCCTCCACTCTCATTGACCATGTTTCAGAGCCATATAGCAAGATCGAACGAATCATGGCTATGTAGATGTAAATTTTCGTTTTTATGGTGATTTCACGACGACTCTTTTAGTCAACCAGAAGAAAACATTTCTAGCTGTCTTCATCCGGATTGTAATATCGCCTTTTGCCTGGCCATTTGGTATTAGAGTGGACCTAAAGTATTTTACATAGTACAGTTCCTCAATCGGCAAGGAATATAAAAAGAGACATTTTACCAGAAGAAAAGTAAGAAAAGTCTTATAAGAAGAAAAGTCTTTTGTTTTATTTACATTGACCCTGAGTCCGATTCTCGCTGTAGTCCCTGACACGTTATTTAGCATAATTTGCATTTTGTCATAACTGTCAGCAAAAAGGACTACATCATCAGTGTATTCAAGATCTGTGAAACGATACTCTGGACTGATATAATGTCCATTATCTAGTCCATAGTATAGTTGAATACTGTAAGAGGAAGGACACAACCTTGACGGCCATCATTCTTATTTCGAAGGAGTTTGGCAATTCCACATATTCACAGATCTGCACCGACGTTCTCATACAATGCCTTTATGAGTCGAATGATCTTTTTTGAAATACCGTAGTACTCCTACTCCAACATCCTTCATAGCGCCATTCTATCAATTAAATCGAAAGCAACCACAAAGTCGATGAAACATTTGAAGCAATGTTCCAACACCCTTCTTAGCATGAATATCTGATCAGCACAACCGCAGATCTGAAACCAGCTTGATTACGGTCATCCTACCGTCTTGCCATAAGTATATTGAGTGGAAGGGAAGTAAAAATTTTCTCGAAGACATCTAGCATGCTGATTCCTCTATAAATGTCGCAGTATATCCTAGCACCTTTCTTGAGAATTGAAAGAGAATTGTTTTGCTCCAGTCTTCTGGTATTATTTCCTTTTACCATACCAGAGATACATTTGTTGAAGATGAGTTATGAACGATGATGGACAACATTCGAAGAGTTCGACCTGAAGACCATCTTCTCCGGGAATTTTATTGGCCTTAAATTTATGGATTACAGAAACTATTTCCTTTCCTGTTGGCGGTTCGCAATTTCAGACGTGTGGCTCGATGGGCGAATCAGTTATATTCGGGAATAGATGGCGCTTCATGGTTAAGTTTGGCCTCAAAAAAATCTTCCCATCTTATGAGGCGATTCTTAATACTCTTGATCGGCACACCATTGCTTTCCCTTACCATTTACCGAGTCATAGTCGCTTTATGAAAAAAGCGGAATAGTTTCTTATAATCGCCTAATCGAGCCGCTGTCCCCATTCTGAAGGCCATGTCACTCCAATAGTGATTTCTATAACGCAGTACTACTTTATAGCGCTAGTACTACTTGTGCTAGTTACAAATCTTCGAAGTATTCGGTAGTCAGGATACAGGATAACTTGACACTGGCAGCTTTTTCAGACAGTTGGACAGTTGCTTCCGATACCCAACTAGCATATTTCCTACTAGCATGTCCTAGCGTGGAAGTGACAGATTTTCGGAGAAATTCCTTTAGTTTGGACAGGTATTCATTTGCCGTTCCAGAAAATTGATATTTGAATCATTGAAATCGGTTTGAAATGCGCTCATTGCCCCTGAATTTTTTAATTTGAGATAGTTGAAGGATCTTGGGAGATGCTGTTTTCTAAGAGTTATCAATTTTATGCGGATCTTGGCTCGAACTATAACATGGTCAGATCCATGAATATTGCCTGTTTCAATACCGCGATAGGAACGACTATCAAGTATGCAATTCTTCCAACGGCGACTGATTAAAATATAATCAATCTGGTTGAAGTATTTAGTGTTCCAGGGAGTTCCACATGATGTTTTCTATGATGCCGGAAGCAAGTTAAAACTTCATAATGCTCTTAAAAAACATCATACTCTTCGGAATAACGAAGAAAACGTTCCCCATTGGTGCACCGATCTCCGATGCCATATTTGCCAACTGTCGAGGTCATCGCAGCAGCATTATGACCTACACTCCCGATTCCAGTCATATTCCAGTCTCCCCCGATTATGACCATAACATATTTCGGTAGAGGTAGAGACCGTATTCGATTCGATTGATAGAGTAGCGCTCTGGAAAGTAATGGAATGTGACAGTGTCTCGGAGACAATAAAGACTGTTATCAGCATATCTTGGCACATGTCTACGGGGAACTGACTGACCCTTTCGAAATAAAAACTGGTGTACGTCCTTTCCCTATAATATTCAACTATGCGATAGACTGGATAATGGGAATCGCTTGTCGGGGCACTCAAGAGGTATGCAAATCAGAGCACAGCATCACAGACGCTGATACGCTGATACTTGAATACGCTGATGATGTAGTCCTTTTTATTGTCAGTTATAATAAAAAGCAAATAATGTTAAACAATAGCAGTTGCAGCGAGAATTGGACTCAAAATCAATGTAAATAAAACGAAAGTTTTCGTCTTATAAAAAAGATGCTGATAAAATACCTACTTTTATCAATTCATTACCGGTTGAGGAAAGGCTCGATTTTCTATATCTTGGATCCACTCAAATGGGCAAAAGATGAAATTGTGACCAGGATAACGTTAGCTAGAAATGTTCTTCTCATCGAAGAAACTTTACGGAACCGTCACGAAATCACTTAAAGACCAAAATCCGCTTCCACAATATTGCTGCAGTTTGCTCGATCTTACTATAGGCAGCAAAACATGGCCAATGAGAGTGGAAAATAGAAGCTACCATCTAAGATATACATTTTGCTGGCTCATCGAGCGGATAAAATCGCACATGATTGTGTCCATCTTAGCTCAAACACCACCTATATTAATAATTATCACACAACATCGCCTTTGCTGGTTAGGGCATGTTCTTCGTCCTCCACCCCAGGAATTGGCATATTTCGCTAATTGCCGAACCCTGATTGGCGTCAGAAGCGATGAGGGCCAATCAAAACCTGAACTGATACAATCAGGAAAGATTTTGAATGTATAGGCGATATATGGACTTAGACGATGGAACAAGGAATGGTTTCTATTACTAATAGCTATAGAAATAGAATGGCTCAATGGGTTGTTGCTCAATTGGGAGCGCCGATCCTGATGTTCGATTCCCCGCAGGAATTAATCTGTCCAAAAATCTGGGTGATGCTGGCGACTCACCTGTATTTCTATCGCTAAGGGACTCCCTGGCATATTGCCCAGTGCGACAAGCCAATGGAGCGAGTTTAACCAGCAATGGTAAAGACTTTTAAAAAAAAACTACTAACGATGGCGCTAGACCGAGGGGCTTAGAGATGTTGTACCCTTGTAGTCGGCAGAGCTAGCCTAAACAATAACGGTGAGAAGAAGAACCTACCGTTACATACTCCATTAATTTTGCTGCTTCTGATCCGATCGGGCAGTTATCAGCGGAGTGGCATCCCAGGTATGTGCATATAAGGAATTGACATAATCTTTTGATATACGACCAGTGGATAAGCAAGCTTGCGTCCTCTTCACTATAATTTTCAATTGTACAATAGACTAGACAAGAACATTCATGCTTAGAGCATAGCATGAATGCGTAGATTGCCTAGCAATGCAGGAAAAAAGGAGTGGTTTAATTTCAGGAATGTTATCGGATCGAGATGCTTGGAAATATCTTATAATAGTAAGGGGAATCAGTAATGGTATGATCTAATAAGAAGGATAAAAATTTAGTTACCTAAGCCAAAAATTTTCAACAAGCTTCGGCGAGATGTTGACGGCAAACAATAAGTGAACTGTGGTTATCAAAGAATA